ATCGATAATAATGTTTATTTCAATAAGATTTTCCAAAAAATATATTATATACAGATTCGGCTTAGTTAGAATTTTATTATATGTATAGATTTAATACGCTTGCAATCCTTAGTGCCTAATGGTTATATGTTCCTGGTAAAACATGATTACGTTCATTGTTCATAGATTTAAAACGTATCATCATTAAAATAAATTGGGACATTTTTTTAGTTTCTACACAAATGTGTCAGTAACAGTTTTTAATAGGTGACCTAATTGCGCAAGTTCTACTCGTATACGATGTTAAGTCTTCACGTTTCTAAACCTCTTAACTTAACAAGTTTATTCTATTATATTATAAGCTTTTAAATTATATTTAGAATTACGAGTATATAATATATTAGTTATTTTAAAACAGTTTTGACATTTTGAAATTGATAATGTCTGCTGTAAATCATTACATCTATACATATAATAAAATTGTAACTGATCGCTGTCTATACATGGAAGATATTTGAGTGACACTATTATTGGGGGGTCTTTATTAACGCAATAGAACCCAAAAGAGAGATTTTTAAAAATGTTGTCTGTTAAAAAAAAAAAACATTCTTTATTAAACAACACAATGGTAACAAATACACACAGCCCTAACTCCTGAACTAGAAAACTGTGTTTCAGGAGCTAGTACCTTCCCATATCAGGCGTACGTATTCATTGCATGAAATTACGTTATAATAAGGTAAGTTAATGTAAACAAAAAAGGAAAAAAGAAAAGTTTGTCTGTGCATTTGTGCGCGCTAATCTAAGAAACTGCTTAACCGATTTGAGTGCGGTTTTCACTAATGTATAGTAATAAGCCTTACTTAACATTTAGTATTTGTTTTATTTCAATCTGTTTATAAATAAAAAATTGTGTCAATCTAAGGAATCGCCTAGGGACGAACCCGAGCTAAGCGAGTATTGATTGCGCAAGTGATATCGTAACATTGTTGTTACCAGCATAAGTGCATTCTTTAATTAAAATATTAGAAAATACTCATACCTCATGGCAAAACCGCAGTATGGTAAGATTAACCAATGTAGGTTATTTGATAAAACTATTGATAATATTAAAGAATGTTATAATGGTAGATACGTAATATTTTATTTATTCAATTATGTAATTCAAATATTTTTACTTTAATAACGAAGCAGCAGACGAATATATGTTTTTTTTTTGTTTTTCTTCATAATTTATCATCTATAAAATTTCTAATCATATTTGAAAGAAAAAAAAAACAATGGTTAAAATAGGTTGTAATATATTCAGTTAAAATATAGTTTAAATATGTTCAGTTTTTTTTTTATGTATCTTTATAAAAATGATTTAAAGATTGTTTCTCAAAATTTACTTCCTAAACATTTTACTTAGTTGTCATACACTAGCGATTCACCTTCGCTTCGCTCGGGTTCGTTCCTAAGTACTTTTTAACGGTTAGTATGGAATAGATAAGACTATATATTTTATTACTGCTTCGTTCCCTTGGGTAGTAGCATGATGATGCCTATAACCTCCCTCAATAAACGGGCTATCTAATGCAAAAAGAATTTTTCAAATCAGATTAGTAGTTTCTGAGATTAGCGCGTTCAAACTGTCTTTTTGTAATATTAGTATAGATAAATGAGTAAGCTGTGGTCTCCTATATATGAAGGAGTAACACATATTGTAATTCTTAATTATTTTTAAATGATGTATAGTGTGTATCTTTTGTTGGATATCCTTAACAAACTAAAATAATATTTTACCTTACAATATTAAACATAACTTGAAAAGTACTCGATCACAACTTATGCTATTTTAAAACTTATTCATGGAAATATACAAGAATTAATTTATGAAATGTTAGAAAATAGCTCGGTTTCCAAGTAAAACTTATATAACCAGTACATTGGTGCTACACAGTTGTTCGCAGTCTAACTAAGGCTTGCAAAGTATATTTTACTGCTAATTGTATCACTATGTTGAGTACCGTGCTACGGAGAAATGGCCATTGCTATGTATCGCATTGATTATTATTATTCATTCATACTCACAAGTTTATCCATATGAAATACAAGATTTTTTTAATGTCTCATTTTTAGTCTAAACTACACATTTCTTTATATATATAAAATTTTATTAAATACTAATTTATATTATATACAATATTTGATTTATTAGAATCAAATTCAAGCTATAGTTAAATTTCATTAATTACTATGTTCATATCGGTGTGATAAGCCAAGCCCCGCCTGACACCGAACAAACCTCAATACATTACCCACTGTGAGTTGAGAATTTAGTGGAAACATTAATTAATCAATGCCTGGTTGGCGCAACGTTGCATCTGTCTGAACGTGTACAGTCTAACTGGCCTACTAATGCCCTGGATGCATAATATATGAATAAAAGAATATTTAATGCCTGCCTAGCTAGAGCTTTGGATGTCGTATATATGCTATATTTGCTTGTTATGTGTATATTGCGACAAAATCCGAAAAGATAGTTTTATTTAAAATGTCAAATATTCGCGTAAATCTAAGAAAGTATTATAAGAAAGTATTAAATCATAAAACAGGTAATAATAATGGCACAATACATGGGATATATTGGTGATATGCTTGGAAAAGTGAGTGAGGTTCAAACCCAGGCAGGGTGTGGATTGAGAGACTTTCTGAGATATCCATGAACGAATTTACAACATGAATATCATTTGCTAATAGGATGACCGACACAAATGCGAGAGATCTGTGAACATCGCCTTAGTCGTGTATTTCAGAAGATATGCAAAGATCGCCAAATATTATACTGCATGATGGACTATGGCCGGCACCTCTTTGCATAGAAACCCAGCGTGTGTCGTTAAAATTGCTGAATTATATTATCATTATTGTTAGAGTAGAAAATAGCTATTCCTAAAATTTATAATCAAGGATCAAGAGTATCTTTAAAAAATAAATTAAAGGAGGAGGAATAAAGTATTAATTTTGGTCTACACGTATCAATATACTTGAACGATAATGTAAAATAAAAATATAATATAAAATATTATATATAATGTACATATGTTCCTAAAAATATAAATAAGTGTGACACCACAACATTAATACCAGAATCAAACTCAATATTATAAAACCTACGACTCGGTTGTTGCAGTTACTGTAATTAGTATTAGACATGAAAAATATTCTTCGTAAGTATTAATTATTATTATTAAACTTTCCCATAACTGTTGAATAATGAGCGAAGATATTATCAAACAGTTGTGTGGAGAACGTCACAAATCAGGAGATATATCGATCGAAGCCAGAACACTGCATCAGACAGGCAATTAGGAGTCCCGTCTGATAGCGTGGCCATTGTGTGGGTGTTTTATTATGCAGGAATTATATTCATAACTTGGCCGTGCTGTGATGAAATATTGAACGGATGATCCCCACGCTCGTTGCGATGTTAGACACGTACTGAACGGAGTAATTCATCGAATGGATTTAATATTTGGTTTAGGGCACTTTCGCTTCTAACAGGCATCGCTGAGTGTTACTGGCATAAATATAAAACGATTGTTCTGAAAAAGATACCTATAGATAGAATACTTTAAAAAAAAATCTATACGAATATATGTATGAAGCTAAAGTTTTTTTTTGTTTGGTTGATGCTATGAAGCTATAAGTCCGATTTAAATAAAAAAAAAGAAAGATTTATAGCCTGTTATAAGAGGTTATAGACTATCTAACATCACACTATGAACCTAAGGTGAAGAGAATTGTACATATATAAATTACTCAGATAGGCAGTGGTAGCCCAGTGGTAACGCGCTCGCTTGGGAAACCGAGTGATGCGGGCTCAAATCCCGGGTCTCGCACCTCTGATATTTTCATGAGCGAATCATTTTTAGCATGATTACCACTTGCCTTACGGTGAAGGAAAACATCGTGAGGAAACCTGCACGTCTGAGAGAACTCAGCAAGTTTTCGAAAGACATGTGAAGTCCGCCAAGCCGCACTTGGCCAGCGTGGTGGACTATGGCCAGATCATCGGCCTGAGCATCATATTGAAGGGAGGCCCGTGCCCAGCTGTGGGACGTTAAAAAGGGCTGAATACAATATAGGTTATAGACTATCTAACATCATACTATGAACCTAAGGTGAAGAGAATTGTACATAAATAAATTACTCGAACGAAGCCGCGTTCACACGCTAGAAATATTAAATAGTTGCATTTATATTTTTAACTAGCATTGCCCGCGGCTCTGCCCGCGTTCAGATTACCAAAAAACAAATTCTTAGGTTTTACATATTAGTATACTCTTACAATGCAGTTTTTGTATTTTTTTCTCAGAAATGAGATATTTTCCTGCGGTAAAAAATATCCTATATGTTGACCCGGATAACCAGCTATCATCATACCAAATTTCATCAAAATCTGTCCAATGGTTTTCTCGTGATGCGGTAACAGACAGACAAACAAAAATTCTAAAAACTATAGATTCGGACTCTGTATCGATAATAATGTTTATTTCAATAAGATTTTTCCAAAAAATATTTAATGTACAGATTCGACTTAGTTACAATTTTATTATATGTATAGACAACAATTTACAAGTACATGTTGATGGGAATTGTGATGGCTACATGATTAGATAAAAATCTTTAGGTACTCTCTACTTTCCCAGGTGAATTTGATGTCATTAATTACATAATTTGATCTCATTTATTTTATTTAAAAATTAAAAGACCTGAAGAGGCCGCTTATTTGAGTTTCAGCCAGTTTTTTCAAATCGTTAACGATTGTATTAACCATTGGTTTTGCGCTGATGACGCTCGTCCTCTTTTTAATGAACGTATTCAAACGATAAATCTTCTATTACATCAAAATAGGTCAATAAAGAAAGAAAAGGAATTTGAGACGTAAATATTGTTGGTAACGAATAATTCAATTTTAATGATGTAAAGGCAAATCTTATTTAAAGGTTAAATTGAAAAAATGTGTTTCATTTCAGAAACAAAGCACGAATTAGAAGATCTCATGGCCGATATTAAGAAAACTGCCAACAAAGTCAGAGGAAAATTAAAACGTGAGTATATATACTTCTCAAGCCACCATCATGTTTATGTATATACTTCATTTGTTATGCAATAAGTCACATTCGTACACTTTTATTAGATTTATAGAGTTATGAACGACCGACCTCCTTGTGATGTTATCTTCGTAATAATGGGCAGAAATTGTGAGTCAGCGGTAAAATTATGTGAATACTCATCTAACTCTGACTAAGCGTTTAAAATAATTAAGTTTCTTAACATAAACCTAGTAAATTATGTAACAATAATAGTATAATATTAAGTAAAATGTATACACACTGCACGGTGAAACACAATCCCACAGACATAGAGCAGAACATCGAACAGGAGGAGCATTCGAACAAATCATCTGCTGATCTCAGGATAAGAAGGACCCAGCATTCGACCCTATCCCGCAAGTTTGTCGAGGTGATGACCGAATACAACCGCACCCAGACGGATTACCGAGATCGGTGCAAAAACAGGATACTCCGACAGCTCGAGATCACGGGTCGCGCCACTACCGATGAGGAATTGGAAACCATGTTGGAGCAAGATAACCCTGCCGTCTTCACTCAGGGGGTAAGTTTTCCACGTTCTTATAACGATAATTACCACAGATATTGTGGGTAAGTAAGTTTAACAAGTAGATTCAGTAGGTGTTTTAACAAATAGTCAAACTATGAAGACAACGGCTTTCTTAGGTATTTACCTACCAATCCGATATGTATTTTTAAATATTCTTAAATATTTTTCGCGTTTTATACGGATAGAAGACGATAACATTGCTTTTACAATAGTTTTCGTTTCAAAATTACTAAGACGGAAATTTAGATTTTCAATTGGAGCTTCTATTGAATATATATCTGAGATTCTTAACAATAAGATGTAAATTGAGGTCATGCTCCATTTTTTCATTTATCTAAATTATATGTCTATTTATGTTAATCTAAATTACAAAAATTCTTTCACAAACAAAAGACAGTTAGAATAAAATATAAATTATCAAAATTATTGTACAATTTAATTAATAATATATATACCATGTTATTTTGAATGGTAAAAAGTTCATAATAAAACAACAATTTAAATAGTACAAAATGGAACTTTATAGTACTGAACGATGCTTCACTTGATGCTACGAAATTCAGGGCAAGGGCCTCGTAAGGAGGGGTAGCAAGAAAAAATTTTCCAGACTAAATATTGAAAGATTACTTAGATATTACCAGATAATCGCACAGCGAGGGTTCTTAACATTGCCTATCGACATATTTCATTTTTCAAGGCTGTGCTACTGAGAATGAAAAATAATTTGTGATTTTTCATTTTTATTTCAAATATAGTTTAGTTCAAATATTTTGAGGACATTTTTGTACAAATGCTGACTTTGTTCAACACTAACAATGGACAATTTGACCATTGTTACGGATTTTAACAACGTAGAAAGTTTTATTTTATTTAAACTTGGTATAAACGGATATTTTTTATAAAACTTTAAAGTCATCTAACGATTTGAAAATTACAAAACCTCTATACATAAATGGAAATTTGGAAAACCCTATTTAAAAAAAATATGATTTTATTTAATACTTAAATCATTTTTTGCGTGCATGCGTGAATTAACAGAATATATACCGCTTAGTACTATTTTGCTAGTCTCAATCAAGTCTCAGTCAAATAAGGGCTTACCTTCGAAATGGAAGGTAATAAGCAATATGTAGGACCTTTGATAACTTGGGACGCGGGCACGAGATTATCTATCTATAATATATAAAATTTCCATGTCACAATGTTAGTTACCGTACTCCTCCGAAACGGCTTTACCGATTTTTACCAAATTTTATATGCGTGTTCAGTAGGTCTGAGAATCGGCTACTATCTATTTTCCATACCCCTAAGTAATAAGGGTGGCCCACGTTAGGGACGAACTTGAGCGGAGCGAGGGTGAGTCGCTAGTATTATATATTTTTTTCGAGATTTGCCACTTTTTATCTTTAATGACTGTTCTATTACAGTTATTTTAATGTTTTATACATGTTCATTAGTTTTTACAACGATAAGCAGACTATTATTTTTTATTAACCGACTTCATAATAAAAGGAGGTTATCAACTTTAATTAATTATTGTAAATGTAAAATATTCACGTATATGATAATCTGTTAGGGCTTCCAAACAAATATACAACATTTAATAGGTATATGTATGTACGTCTGTATGTACCTATGTATGTATGTTTGTATATATGTATATATATCCACGCATTTCTCCGAAACTTCTTAAATATCTGATTGAGTTTCAAAAGTAAATGAAAACCCCCGTTCAGCTATTTTTTACTTTTTAGTGCCTGGAAGGTTTTTTTTAAGTTGGTTTATTTGCTAAAGTTTTGAAAATTTTGTAATTGAAAAATAAAAAAGGGAAATACTAAAGTAAAAGTAATGAGGTGAAATTTTAGACAATCATATATGAAACAAGTTTTCATTTCACACTTTGCAGATCATAATGGAAACGCAACAAGCGAAGCAGACGCTCGCCGACATCGAGGCGCGGCACGCCGACATCATCAAACTAGAGACCTCCATCCGCGAACTGCACGACATGTTCATGGACATGGCCATGCTCGTCGAGAGTCAGGTCAAACATATTACATATTATATAATTACTTATATGATATAACAGTTATTAGATTCAAATTTAGGTAACTTAATAGACATTAGAGATCGAAGAAGCCTTTTTGGTATTGATTCAGAATTGAAGATGTACGAAATGAAAATTGTGACCTGTTTCATTTTGAGCAATTTTACTTAAAAATACTTTCTTAGTTTTTTTATTTGAAATTTAACAAAATTTGTAGGTAATATGATTGGATTAAGTTACAATAAAGAATATATTGCATTTATTATAATATGGCTTGACATATTGGCGTATGAAACCACAGAAAATGAAGGATTTGATCAGAACTTATTGCAAAATAATATGTGGTTTTACATGTCGCGCTTTGTCGAAACGAAATAGGGATAAAATGTTATCCTTAGCAGGCATCGAACCTATGACCTCCAATACTGTGATTGTGGCAATCAAGCTCATTGTCAATAATGTTGACATGAATAAAGAATATAACCGTTGGGAGCATATATTTTAATGTACGTAGACACTACTAAATTAGATTGATTGTCTAAACGAGCTCCCTATGGATACAGGGTGAGATGATCGACCGCATTGAGTATCATGTAGAGCACGCTGTGGACTATGTCCAAACTGCCACACAAGACACAAAGAAGGCCCTTAAATATCAGAGCAAAGCTCGACGGGTAAGTTCATACCACAAGTGCCGGTTCATTGGTTGCTAATGCGTTTTTGTTTTGTTTCTCCTCGCCCTCATTTCCCTCCCACGTTCTATCCCCGAACCTATTGTTTCATCGTGAACGTTGAAAATCCAAACCCCGTATTTGTTTTTTGCGTCGATTCGGTGATTGGTTCACACCATGTTTTTTTTTAACCTCCATATCTTATGCATCCACAAATTGGCTTTCATTGTTGTCTTAATAACTGTTCATATAACTCGGACTAACAATCGATGGTGATGGGCTTCTTAACATAATCTCATTATTATTTACTGTGTATCACTAATTTTTGACTTTCGTTTGGTGTGTGCGTTATTTGCCTTTTGTATATGGTGTATGGGTGTTATATTTGTATACTGTCTTCTACTACTTATTTATTATGTATCATACTTCGTATCTAATAAACTCGTCTACTCACACTGTGAACTAACTGTGAACTATTGGAATAAATGTGGTGTTACCTTCCATAACTAACAAGACGAATAACCGGGACTAAACAATCGTATGAACCAATCGGCCGCAAACAGTTCGTCCCGCGCGTTCCCTCCCCCGCGCCGTACCTTAGTGAGAGCAGGGCGAGCTGGTCGACCGCATCGAGCACCACGTGACCGCCACCACCGACTACGTGGAGACCGGCAGGACTGAGTTAGTGCAAGCGTTCGACTACTTTACCAAAGCCAGGAAGGTAAAGCGACATTCGTAACGGGATAGCGAATAGGCAAATGGGGATATTAACATGATTTACTCAATCTATTTCTATTATGATATCCGCTGGTTTTTTTTTTTAGTTTGCATAAATATTAAATACAATCTCTCATAAATATCTTAAGTCAAAACTGTTGCAGGGAAATGATATCAAAAATTCGATAAGCTTTGTTTGTCGATTTATATTAAAAGGGCCTTGGCTAAAAGTACAGTTCCATAGACAATAGACGTCAGGTTCGACTTATTAGGTCTTTCTTTGAGCCTTTCGCTTCAAATATTAATTAAGCCAGTTTTTTTGACGTAAGATATTTGTTATCTTGCTCATGTCTTTTAAATAAGTATAATATATTATATATATTTTTTATGTAGAAAATTTTGCTTCGGTTTTATATGTTTAGCCTAATGGCATGCGCTTTGTTCAAATGCATTTATTATTTATATATGTATGTATATTGTATATACGTGGTATTGTATAGCCTGTTCAGAGATTGGGATTGAATATAACGGCAAATTATTCTCTTAAAATTGTCACCGATGTCCACTTTCCCTCAGATTCCGATCAAGTATCTTAATGATTAGATAATATCTTTCATATACATATATTTTTTGATGAAATTGATTGTAGTATAAATAGTGAGAAAATATTCTTCATTAAAAACTATATTTAACTATTTATGCGTCTTGTTAAAAAAATATTTATTCATGTATTCAATCTCAGTCTTTATAAAATATTGTATGTATGCATGTATGCATCCATGCTTAAGATATTACGTGCTTCTACGAAAGCAACTATGTGATAATCGTCGTGACAAAATTAACATTTATTCTTTCTTATCATAATATAAGCATGAGAATATCTGATAATGTATTTAATGTAACAATAAAGATAATCGCTAAAATTATTGACTTTGTCAATTTAATACGTAACTTATAGATTCGGTTTTTTTTTATTAATTTACATAATATTAATATAACTTTTATTACTGTTATTTATAATATTATCTCATGGTTTGAAAGTAATTTATAATAAAATATATCATTTTTGATACTCAGACTAAAGAATTATATTAACAGAGTTCGACAAAATAATGTAAAAGTTAAAAATAGTAGCGTGATTTGCTGTTTACGCTACTTAATTCTTGATTTTTCCATACAGATCGTTTACTTTCTTTGAAGAGTAAACTAAATATTATATATTTTTTATTTTTATTTAATCATTTATTTCAGGCAATATTTATAAAAAGATCTTAAATATGTAAACAGAGGCCCATAGCATAATATATACCTTAAAACTAACATATATATATTATGTAACATATGTATTACTTGAAATAATAAATAATTTTTGAGAATAAAATAGGAAGAATAAAAATAATACTATATTCTTTGGTATGTTTCAAATATTAGTTCTCTTCCCCTTGAAAGAGAGATAGCATAGTATCATTTTCTTTTTCTTTATTAATAAAATCCGTTAGCTTTTTTTTTAATTTATTAACATTTATTTAATTATCATTCAATATACAAATTGTTATTTGTATACTACTTTAAAACATTTAGCTTCACGTTTAGTTCTATGATACTCTATTATTCCTTAGTCTGAGTCATAATATTATGCTATTTTAAACGACATACATATATTTATGAAGCAATATAATAATATCCCAACCATCCGTAGTTAGGCGTTCCATTAGAGCAGATATTTTATTTTATTTTTATTTTCTTTTTGTCATTCCAGAAAAAAATCTTCCTCATAATATGCCTGTTTGTTACGCTGATTATTATTATATTAATAATAGTGCTCGCGATTGTACTGTGATAGACTGCGAGGGGCGCTAGTGACGTCATCGGCCGCGAATGCGATAGAACTATTGGTGCAAATACTGATATTCATAACAAAAGCTGATATACTTATCACTAGATGTAAGTGTATTCGAGTGTACGTGGTGTTTTTTTTTTCGACTTTTGGGGTACATGATATATATATTATTTCCCATATAAATTAAATGAAAATATATGATAAAATTAATATGAAAATTTTAACGGTTATATCGAGACAGTAAAGTTTATGCGAAATAATATTTATTCACCTATAATCATGTACCAAACTGTTTTGTGTTAGTGCCAGCTTCACTCGCGAAGCATGCCGTCGTGTAAACACTGTCACAAATACTGTGCAATCGAGTTTTATAATTTATATTAGTCATTGTTCATGCAGAGTTTTTTAAAAAAAAAAAGACATAAAGTTCCTAAGTTTAAAAAGAACAATTTAAACGCTAAATTAACAAACAGTACAGTACCTTTAATAAATTATTAATTATTATACATAGAAATTGCTTTGGATGAACAACCAAAAAGGTATTATAGATAAAAAAAAATCGGGAACTTTGATCCCACCTTAAACTAATGATGGACATATATATGGCTATTAACATTATTGCCATTTAATTGTATTATGTGACAGTGTTGCTATGAATTGTGTACCTTTATAATATATCTACCCGAGTGGTAGTTGCAAGACAATATGTGCAAAGTGCAATAAGAGGATTGTGCTTTAGGTTTAGTACTATTTCGCATTTTTATGTAAATACTATATTAAAAATAATATCATTATAATTTATATAACTTGTGTGTTGAATATATAATTATTTGATTATAAAAATATAAATGAAAGCACAAAAGTATAAATTCGAACAACAACTTCAATAATCTTGTTTCATATTTTAAAATACTATTATTATGATAAAAAACACATTTCTTAAATAATCATTGTTAGGAATTAATGTATATAATTTATTAATCATTCAGAAGCTTTGTCTAATATTTTTTTTTTATAATTAATCGTTGTTGATTTTACAAAAAAAAACTAAAATTTTTTTATAAATGCATTAAAGTTTAATGGGTTCTGGAATGTTTCTGATTCAGATCGATTTTGTTATCTGTTGATTGTTTATTATCTATGTTCAAAGCACAATATTATATGCCATTGTTTTTTTTTTTAATTTAATATTTTGCGAAACCAGTATTCACATAGTTAAGTAAATTATTATTGGCTCTGTTGACTAGATTGTATGAATATTCAATAGTTATAATTAGTTTTATTAACGAGCTAGCTACGAATATATTATTTTGTTGTAATTCATATAAAACCTGCTTGAAAAAAATTCCAGATACTTTTAAAAATAAATGAAAATTCAAATATTTGAAGAAAAAAAAAACAAATATATTCTTTTTTGAGTTTTCATTTTGGGTTATATTTGAGTAATTATTGATTTATGAAGTTATTTACTCGATTATATACAAGGAGTATAATCAAGTACATAACTCGATAATTATGCCTTTTTAATCATATTATTAATAATTTGATAATATTTTCCTGGGAGTTTTTTCAATAAATATGACCAAGGATCTGTTCAAGTACTTACGTTGATACCTAATATTGTTTAACATTATTTATTATAGTCACTATAATAGAAAATTCGTTATCTCACAGCAGTATTTTGAAAATACTTGCTTTATATTACGATTTTTGCATTTAATGGTAGCATTTCATGCATACCATCTGATAAATAATTTACCTAATACAATAATTAAGCGCACATTCTTGAAAATGTTTACTCTATAAATGATTACATATTAAATGTTATGTGGTACATTTGATTAACTGTGATTAATTAATGAATTTATTTACGCGAGTGTACTCTAGGTGTGATTTGTAGCTTTCACATTTTCCTGGTTCATACGAAGACTGTTAATGTTATTAATATAATACCATCGTCATTTTTACTTAATTGCTATACAAAATACACCCGCACTATTTATTCTACGTCCCGTAGCGAGGGTCAATCGCCGAGTTGTTTATATTCGTTCACATAATAAGATGTAAATATGGATTACGTTAGAAACTTTGGAATTACATTTATTTATTTTATTTCGATTAATTTAATTTTTTTTTATTTCACCCCCCACCCCCCGATACGAGGCAAACGACGCACACACATACAAAACCGTCGCCATCGTTGTTAATATTAATAAGAAGCGATGCAAGCGGTAGTACCGCGGGCACGTATAAAGCGTACTGTTGCATGTCGGCAATTCGGAACGACAGAAGAAGATCATGATCCTAGTGTGTCTGCTCATACTCGGCATCGTCGTCGTCAGCTACGTGTCCAGCACCTTCCTGTGAGCGCCGCGCCCGCACCAGGTAACCGTGCGGCGGCGAGCGCGCCCGCGGCACCCGCGGGGACGCGCTCGCCGACTTAGACTAAGACACTAATACCAAATATTTATCCCTTGTGCAGAAGAAGATAATGATAATGCTGTGCCTCCTCGTCCTCGGGCTCATTGCGACCGGCTACGTGTATAGTAAATTTTTCGCCTAAACTATTCGGGGCAGGTGCGACGGTTGACATACAGGCTTACGTAGTGACGATAGTTGTTAGATTTTTAACGTCATCGAGTAGATGTATGGTATCGGTAATTTCATACGACAGAGCTTGAGAATCGTAACGCATTCGCAATCACATACATTGGAAACGAAACGTAGACTCATGATTCGGATACGAAATTTGCATGCAGCGATCCGGGACGAGCGTCCCGATGACATGTACGACTCTTGTACTTTAGAATGATATATATATATATTTTAAATAATGATAATATAAGCATACGTAAGTTGGTTTTTTTTATTCTATAACAATATTTATCATTGCTATTGTAACATCTCATTTTCAATATCGGTGTGGGAAGTCTATATACATACATTGTTCGTGATTATATTAAAGCTAAAAATCTTGATACTTTGTATTGGTATATTATTCTTTTGTTTGATTTGTCTATTAATAACTTTTGTTATGTCGATGAAAATGTCTATTTATTGGATATACTATTATAATTGAAACAAACAATGCTATTTACATATCTACGACGCGCGAAACAATCATCAAGAAAAATATTCAAGCACAAACAAATAAAATTTCAAATGACAAAATTTAATTATTAATTCCATTTTACTTATACATATATATCCCAATACAATTTCCAAAAGAATCCTGTTAAATTAAATATGTACCTATCTATCACATATTCTTCCAGCACTTTCCACTTTCTCTTTAGCACCCTTTAGCTATAATATATTTATACAATTATGTATTTATATTACAAACCATTTCTATAAACCCACTATTCCACGCTAAATATTTTTACTCTACACCGCACCCAAATTTATTATACTTATACCTAAGCATTGCAATACTGCATGACTTTACTGACGCTTCAATACAATGATTCGATGATTGATATATTTTGTATAGTTAAATTAGTATTTTCTTTAGAATAAATAATTTTTTAATAAAAATAAGAATGTCGCGTGATTGCAAAATTTTTATTCGATCAGAGTTGTAAAGAAAGGTTTAGATTCTATTTTAGAATATTAGTGAAAGACGTACATATTTTAACGGAATAGGCAATAAACAGAGTATGGTATATGTAGACGGGTAAGATATAGCGTGGATAGACGAATTGAGAATTTGATATACATAATTTGAAAATCCCACCCATTCTCCTGAAGACCCTCTAAATAGCTCTTAAGTACGCAATGATACTACTTTTAAGATTTAAAAGTAGCCAAATTCTGATTGGTTTTTATTTAATTTAATACTGTTCGTCAGTCCAACATATCTTTTTAATATTGGTAATTTAAACTTATCATTCTTATTTAAATATAACATCTATCTGCACAATGTTATTCTAAATATAGAAAAACTTCTCTAAAATGATAAAATATTAAAGATTTCAAAATTATTACAACATAATTCAACATTTTACATATCAACACACTTATCCTCGTTGGTACTTTAACAAAGAATACGCTAAAACTAAGCTCAACTTTTCACAGGACAGAAAGCAAAGAAACAAGATTTGCAAATATATCGTGCCTGCATCCCGTGTGGCAACCAACATCTGTATGCCGAATTCATCATTAGCATTTACTATACATATTATTATTTGTCGTTAGAACTCTTATCATTAAGGTTCAAATTATATTCTATCACCGGAAGTATATCGTCCCGCCGGGGCAGTGTTTAGCTGTTAACTGTCTTGTTGAATTTGGTCACTATCAAGTAATCACTGACCGTTTATTATTCCATAAATGTTGATTCTAATACCGAAATGTAGTTTACTCTATTTATACGTTACTTTTTAAGGCATCCGAACGGCGTTTTGCAACCTTTTTGACTTTGAAAGTATGGAGACCGGTTCAAATTATTCGTAATTAATTTGTGGATATATATATATATATATATATATATATATATATCTTTAAATCTATTACTCATAAAAAGTATTAAAAATTGTTCAAATCATTTTCTAATCGGATTGTATTCAATTGAGTCGTCAAAAAGGTTGTAAACCTTTTTAATATTTATTTAAACATTTATAAAGCAGTTATCAATAAATATTATATGTAGTACGAGCAGAATATATTTACGTAGTTCTTGCATATTAAATTCTTCTCAAATCGTACGCTGCAGGCTCCTAGTTCACTCCAATATACCCCATTCATAATGCCTGTGGAATTAGTCATATATTTTTATATAATAAGTGAAGTTGGCTAAGCTGATCGGAAGCTTCGTTTTACAGCGAGTTCAGCCATGGTATGTCGGCCCATACCTGTGATACAATTATTACACAGTAAATCTAATATATATATATATATATATATATATATATATATATATATATATATATATATATATATGTGTCATTAAAGTAATTACAATCAGTATTTTGATCTTATAAGGTGACGCGGATAGTGGTCGCCCGACGCCTTCAGTGGATTGTAATCAGTGGTGGATCTACTATATAGCTTACGAGTATATAGCCACTAAGTGTATGGAAAATTTTAATGTAGACGTTTTCAAATTACGCAAGTTTCATCTTTTAGAAAATGTACAATATTCGTTTCTTAAGAATTTTTAATGATGCCCAAGTTCCAATAGTGTTCTTTCTGGTGATGACGATGTATGTCCGCCACTGTGAGTGTCGCGAGTTTGCGCGGAGTGTTTTGGGATGTTGGATTTATTATGTACTTGGGTGGCTCGCAGCACGCGATCATGTAGAGGCGGGAGATTACAAACACACAGACGTACAAACGCTGAATAGTTTGCTTTATTCAATGACTCGGCGATTTCAAAATTTTATTCAATCTACATCCATATAGTATAGACACTTGGACTCTAGTTGATGACTCGATTCCGTTTTCTTACCCTCTTCAAACTATTGGCAAACGTAGCTGTATATCAAATACGAGTATATGTGCTTATGTTATATCGTAACGTGTGAAGTATAACGATTGTTGTGGGGTGTGTCGTCAATCCCCGCCGTCTAAGCATATCTCGCCGCGTGCCGTCGCCGTAGCAATAATGATGTTCGACTACAATTTGTAAAATTGTTTTAAACTTTCGAATGTGTGATAGTAGATGCAGTTGTTGTTTAGTTAATTTTAACATATAATAATAATAATAATTATTATAAATTAATTGTTATTGTGAGTGTAACATTTATAACCGGTAAGTTTTCAATATAGTGACTACCAGTCAGTGTCGACGCTTACCAATCAAATTATAGACGTTTGGATGGAGGGGAGTTTGATTTTCATAACATTTAAGATGCAATTCGTTGTACAGTAATACATAATGTAGCAGTTTTAGCTAGGGTAAATTTTTTAATAATTAAAATTACCTACAGAGTCTTCAGCTACCTATATAAGAATAGATATCGGGCAGATTCCTTTATAAAAAACAGAACACGACGTAGAAAAGGTTCGCTCGAAAATTTAAGCACTAAAATATTAAATTTATTAGCTTTTTCCTAATATTATAATGATACATACGCGTGAGTTCTAAATATATAGTGAGATTATCCGGACATATTGTTAAATTTAAAATTTAAGAGGGCTCGAGATTACAACGGCACTAAGTAACCAAACTGTGACCAGTTCCAGCCTCGTGTCGACTGGCAGCTAGTGTGCGGTCGCATATATAAGGAAATGAAGCAATGTTAATTTTAACATTAATAACATAATTAGATTTTTATCCTTAAGAGTAGGATTTCATCTAGTTGCCTTCGTAATAGTAGAGAATATAGGTGATACCTTTTTCTCATTAGCTTAATAAATAAAGAGGTCAGACGTGCATGTCTCTATTCGCCAGTCAATTGTCTCGCTTGGATCGTACGCCGCTTCTCACCGCTGTTTCCTCTCTCGTGTCTCGTGTACGTGTATCTCCACATTGCATTGTTACTGCTAGGTGCATTCAATCATCGTTCTAATGTAAGAATTGTAATGGCCTCGGAGCGAGGCTGTGTACATGACACCAAATAACGATAATTAGTGTTACGCGATGCGTCCGTCAACTTTTGTAGGTGCGTAGACGCGTAATTTCGCACAATATACTCAGAGATTTAAGGGTCTCAGCTTGGCTGGTCCCGTTATCATTTGTAAAATACTTTAGAAGTAGTCATGACACAAATTCTAGTCAGCTTTCATTGATCTCTTATTCCGATAATCTTAATCGTAATCGCAGTTATATTCTTCTGTTACTAGTCTAAACTGTAAGTGAGTTTCTCGTGTTCAAATATGGCGACGGGAGGTACTTGATGAGCTCGATGGCCTGTTTATTGCTAGCCTGAGGTGACCATTCTCTCGGTTGTTAATGTCATATATAGATAGATATTATCGTTTTGCATTGCACTAGATTAACTTATAACTTAAGGTAAAATCTAAAACTGCGATTGACGTGAACTTTGATAGTCACGATAGATCTAACACAAAAGATGGCGCCATCGAGCCATTAGGCGACTCGCGCGCTCTTTCATGGTGTTTTAAAATAAAAATTGATAATATCGTAATGCATAGATATTTTCATAATCAATAGTATGCGTATTGTTATTGGATTGCTAATTTTGTATTCCTAATTACACAATTAGTATAGTTTATATACTTATGTGTCAATTCTTATAGCGTTTTATTACCTTAACAGAAAATAGATAGTAAGTGTTAAAGTAATCTGAATATCAGTGTTTATCGAGCTGTTTTGCGATTAGTTTTTGTTTTGATTTGTTAAAATCGAATCTTTTTAATGAAATACGCTTCAATCGATTGTTCAAATTTAAGCTGTCTCTGTACCTACCTATTGTGTATCAAACGATAATAATTGTAAGTAATTGTATCTGTCTTATTCGAATCGGTAGCCCTATCGAAAGACTTGAAATCGTACCTAACTCTTCTTAAATATTGTTCTTGCTTTGTAAGTTTATGGGACAACGAACACACAGCAACTATTTATAAGCATACTTATATATAACTCCACTCGGAAATATCAACGTATGGTACGCGATCATTGCGATGGTGCAACGTTGAATAAACTTATATCGAAAGTTTAATTCTTACCCTTAAAATATGGCAAGTTTCTATCGAGGAATTGTCCAATGAGCGATGTTAACTTTTCGATTAAATAAATAAGATGGAGACTCTTGGTCATAAACCTCGACGTCTGAGAGTAGAGTCGCTAGACATCAATACGTAGTTTAATCTATTCACGATTCTCGAATTCGCGCTTTGTTCTTTTTATTCTATTGATGTTGCTTGGCGTTGAACGAAATTAAACATCTAAAAGTGAAAACAAAAATTTTATAACTTAAATCGTGTTGTTTTATACATGTTTAGTTTAGACAAAATTGTTAAAATAGTTTAGAATTGTTCTTAGTTTTTTGTTTATATATTTATATTGTATAAAAAAATATATTTAAATATTCCCTCATTATGAAATTTTCTTGTAATCTTGTAAAGGAATATTAATTATGGTTAAAAATAATGTATTAACGAATTAACAGTGAGGTTCTGGACACGCATTGTAAAATTCAAGTTAGATTGGTTTTATAGTCATTCTGTATGTAGGTTATCAATCTGAAATTTTCTCATAATTATAAAATAAACGGTGTTTTCTGCTGTGACTGTGTATGTTATTTGCTAATTACTATTCCCTAATTTTACACGCCAATTATGTATTAGTTGAATGGCGAATACTACCCTCAACTCAAGTACCGACTACCTACTCAAAAAAATATTGATCAAGGTAAAAGAAATAAAACTGAAAAATTCTGTATTTTAAAATACCTTTCAATCTTATTAAAAATCTATAGTTCCACCAAAACGTCCTATTTTTTTATATCCATTTTGGGTAATAAGTTACCCATAATATTGTTTAAATCTCCAAGTTTTTATAACGTTAAGAAAAGCATTTACCGCATACCTGGTGATATAAATACATACAGGTGATTACGTGAGACTCATTGGCCAGAAAATCCAGTATTATCCACTAAAACCACACTCAATGAGACTACTCAGTCTTAATGGGACGTCGCAAGATCGCTTATGCACTTAACCATGACACTTAATGTCGAGATAGACCACCATAACAAGAATAATCAAGTGGTTGCGCTCACGGTCCACTTTACTCCGCGTGGTAAGTACTCCGCCCGCCGAGGTCTGTTAGGTACACAATTTGTCATTTTAATTAAATTTTAAATAAAATGAAAAAATAAAACAACGCTAGAGCTTTACAATATACCTACTGAGGGGCTTAGTGATCGCGACATCTGGTGGGAGAAAAAAAATTGTTCCCTGTTAAATTTTGACGTTATAGGGTACTAGCATTGCCCGCGGCTCCGCCCGCGTTCAGATGATCAAAAAAATTCTTAGGTTTTACATATTAGTATACTCTTACATTGCAGTTTTTGTATTTTTCTCAGAAATGAGATATTTTCCCGCGGTAAAAAGAGTCCTATATGTTGACCCGGATAACCAGCTATCAACATACCGAATTTCATCAAAATCCCTCCAGTGGTTTCTCTGTGATGCGGTAACAGACAGACAGACAAAAATTCTAAAAACTATAGATTTGGCCTCTGTATCGATAATAATGTTTATTTCAATAAGATTGTCCAAAAAATATTTAATGTACAAATTTGGTTTCGTTACTATTTTTTTTATTATGTACTATAGATGAAGCTGACATCAGACATGTAGATTGAATTTGTAGTACTTTAATAGGGTATCGCTATGTAATCTGTGGTGGTATGTCTGATTTGTCAAGTGTCAACTCATTTGTATAGTTTATGTTAAACTGTCAGTTCAGTATTTAGTATTTTGATTTTTCATGGTAAAATTTTATTTCCAATTGAATAAAGATCGTTAATAACATATAACTCATCAAAATGAACGCACCTCCTACCTTCGAATCATTTCTCTTATACGATGGAGAAAAGAAGTATGAATTTATTTGTCTATTACAAACAATATTACCGCCAATAATTATAATTTTTAAATAAAACAATGTCTTTTCAGGGTTCAAAAGGAAGAAGATACTAAAGTTACAAATGCAGCCATATTTACTGTAAACAAAGAAGATCACACATTAGGAAATATGATTCGCCAGTAAGTAAAAGTACTTAAATGTAACCTATACAAAATTAAGATAGAAAAGATATAATATATTATAATGTTTTAATTTCAGCCAACTCTTAAAAGATCCGAAGGTACTTTTTGCGGGATATAAAGTGCCTCATCCTTTAGAACACAAATTTGTACTACGGATTCAAACTACATCAGATTACACTCCACAGGAAGCTTTCATGAATGCTATAACCGATCTTACTTCAGAGTTATCACTCTTTGAAGAACGATTTAAAGTAAGTAAAAGAGGATAATAAAAGAAACATGAATTGCCTGTATAAATTAGAATTATTTATTTTTTAAATGTCAACCATAGGAGCCAGCCTATAAAGTTTTTACTGTAATTATGTACTTGTAATATACATTTCACAGAAAAAATGACTTTTTAAATGTGAAATAGTTAACAATAACTAGAATGATAACAGTAACAATCTAAAAGAAACAACTATATTTGCTGTAATGAGTCAAATACATTTTTAGGGTTCTGTATGTTGGCACCCAATGGGGAAACTAGTACCAAGCCTCCCCACTGTCTGTCAGTCAGCGACTGTATCTCATGAACCATATTAGGTAGAGAGTTGAAATTTTCAATGTGTATTTCTAATGCTGCTATACCAAAAAATAATAAAAAAGTGTTTAAGAAGTACATATATCTTGTATGATGGTATGGAACCCTTTGTATGCAAGCCCGAATCGCACTTGACTGGTTTTTATGTTATTAATAAAGTAAATTGTAGCCACTTCAAAGTATTCAGTATAGGACTCAATAACCAAATCATAGATCAATGTTCTCAAAAGAAATACTAATTTTTTAAATTATTATTTATTTTAGGAAGCGATCAAAGAGAAGAAGGATGGTTTGGATTAAAAATATGTGTGTTTTTCATGATTGAAGGAATTAATGACACAGCATTGAAAGTGGTACTTTTCATAATATCAATATAACAAGGAAGCAAGGAAAAACATTGTAATTAACTGTTTGGCAATTTTAGGGTTAGATTTGTACTCATAGTAAACTCATCTATCAAGACTGGATTGCATTAAGACCTAACATTGTTTTATACTAGTGACTCATCCTCGCTTCGCTCGGGCTTGTCACTGGTTGATTCTTTAAATTGACATAACTTTTTTATTTAAGACTTTTTTATTTAAGATTTTATTTAAGAACTGATGGAAATAAAACAAGCACTAAATGTTAAGTGAAGCTTACCACAATATATGAGTGAAATCCGCAACCAAATTAATAAAGTTGTTTCCGAGATTATCGTGCACAAATGCAAAGAAGAAAATCATTGCTTTTGATTCTATTGTGTTAATAAAGATCCCAATGATAATTTTCCATCCCAAATATCTTCCATGTTCAGAAAGCTTAAAGTAACAAATTTATTATATGTATAAGATATTTTTGAAAATAAATGTTTTAAGAAAGCTATAAAGGTTTCCTTACTTTATATTTGACATTTGTAATATTATGGATCTATGGCCAATCTTGGATTAACGACACATTTGGCTCAGTTTGTAGTGACCCTACTTGTGCCAACGGTCGCGGGTTCGAATCCCGCTGGAGGCAATCATTTGTGTGATGCGCACGAATGTTTGTGTTCTAGTCATATCAACTTTAAAAAAAATAAAAGCGTCATCTGTAAATATGCACTACAAAGTTACCTTTGAACAATCTACCTTTGACCAAATTTGATTTATGAGCGTATTTAGTTTTTTTTTTATCTTTTGATAATCATTATCACACAAACTAATAACGAATCGGTACATGTAATGCCATCTATTGTCATTTATTTGAACTATTTTTTCTTTGTTCTGTGAATATTATGTGATTCTAAGTGAATATTATGTGATCTCTATAGTATAGTATTGTCATCAGTTAACGGTATCGTTACAAACAAAAACTAAACTATTAACTAACTGAAAGAAAACTAACAGGTTCATATTTATATTTTTTAAAGCCATTAAATTAAAAGAACATTTCGAGGGCTCTATTATAATGATTAAGGTTATGTAATAAAACTACGACAGTATTTTGAATCAATTTATTGATTTTATAAAATTGTTACAATTAGGTGACCATTCGGGTATTTTAAAATTAATTGTGGTAGAATATTATGTTAAAACCATGATTGTGATGGAAATAAATTGATTTGTGCCAAATTGAGTTACCTTCTCAATATGCATTATATCCAGATAATGTATAAGAGAATAGAAACCATTGCCCATTAAATTAAAAAAAAACATGCTAAAATAATAACTAAAAAGTGTTTTCCTTATGTACAAATATTTTGCTACTTTTTATTAGCTAATAAAACAAGGAGTACCATTTGTTGGTAAATAATAAATACCTAAATGAAACAAGTAACAGTAACAATGGTAACAACTAAAATTAATAAATAGGTACTAAAAAGTTTCTTCTTCATCACAGTTCTCCGTAGAGTGCCCGAACACTGAAACAAAAGTAATATCATAAGAAATAATGACACAATTACTTAAGTAAATGTTAAAAATATTTTTTTACAATCTACATACAATAATGCGTAGGATATATTTAATTAGTTAAACAGTTAAATCTGTAAACAGAAAAATATTTTGTACTTTCATTTGCAATGATAATTATAATAGAAACAAATCCTATAAAACGTTTTTGCTCGCTTGTTGATTTTAAAATGTAATTCTTTCATGACGATAGATTCATTATGTTTATAATGGAATATATTATGGAAATATAAAAAGTTTGTAGCGGTTCATAAAAAAGTATGTATTCTACTTGAATTAAGTATCACCTTTATAGGCAATGGTGGCCTAGTGGTACGCGCTCCCTTGGAAAATCGCGTGGCGCGGGTTCAAAACCTCCGATATTTCCATGTGCGAATCATTTTCAATATGGTAACCATTTGTCTAACGGTAAAGGAAAATATTGTGAAATTGCATGTCTGAGGAAACCTAGTAAGTTTTGCAAAGACATGTGAAGTCCGCCAACCCGCACTTGGCCAGCGAGGTGGACTATGGCCTGATCCTCCTCGAATTGGAAGGGAGGCATGTGCCATAAATATATATATATATATATATATATATATATATATATATATATATATATATGTGTGTATATATATATGTACGGACCTTCACAAATGTCGCAGTAGTCGCGCGGCGGCGGCGGGCCGCGGCGCGGGGCGGGGGGTAGTGGCGCCTGGCGCGGGCACTCGTCCGTGTCGTGCGCGTCGAACACGTCGCAGATGTCGCAGAACTGGCGCGGGGCTACGGCTCGGACTTTGCGACCGTTGCTGAAATTAAAAAATGAGTGAAGTTAAAATAAAACTTCTTTGACAAATATCGAAATTAAATTAAAACAATTCAATAATTAAATAAAGCATATTAGGCATATTATTATATATTAATACAATATTATTTAAGGAAAGAATATAATCCGGTGTTAATATTATAAATGTGAAAGTTTGTAAGTATATATGGATGTTTGTTACTCTTTCACGCCAGAACGGCTGAACGGATCTGGATAAAATTTGGCACAGAGATAGATTATAGTCTGGAATAACACATAAGCAACTTTTTATCCCGGTAAAATGTACGGTTCCCGTGGGACAGGTTTGTTTTTGTTTTCCTAGTAGCTAGTATTATATATTTGTCAGACAATAACAACGGTTACCATGGCAACATGGCAATGTATTCTCTCTTATTCTCTCGCCGGCTTAGTCCTATATATTTATGTGTTTGTCTCTTTTTAGTGTTGCATTTTCATCAAGTCACAAAATTCAAATCACAACGATTCTAAAGAAGTTTCACTTCAATAATAAATATTGTAGTCTATATATAAATATACAGAGACCAAACAGTTATATGTATTTAGATTTTACATATATTTATGTGTAGCAAGTACACCGCCTACCATCTTCATAATCACTCCTATGATCTAAGGTTTCTTATAGCGAAGCGGAAGAGATTGCTTATAGCGATAAGGCCGCCTCATGTACATTATCTATTTATGTTTTTTTTATATTTCTTTTGTGACATATAATAAAACGTATTATTATTTAAAAAAAAAAACTAAGAAACACGCTTTTGATGAATTGAAATATTTGGGACTCATGCAGACGAATCATAAGAGTCTAAACTCGAGAGATGCATCATCAGATCAGCTCCAAGATACCAAATTATAGTAATACTGTTATTTGAACTACATGTAACATTAAAAGTTTTATTTTGATACTATAATTCGAAATAGATTAGAATTGACTTTCAAGATTTGATTACATTGTTAGTTCAAGCGCAACTAATAAAATCGTGTTGTATTCAGTCCTTTTTAACGTCTCACTGCTGGGCACGGGTTTCCCTTCAGTACGAGGAGGATCAGGCCATAGTCCACCACGCTGGCCAAGTGCGGGTTGGCGAACTTCACATGTTCTTCGGAAACTTGCTAGGTTCTCTCAGACATGCAGGTTTCCTCACGATGTTTTCCTTCACCGTAAGGCAAGTGGTAATCATGTTAGAAATGATTCGCACATGAAAATATCAGAGGTGCGAGACCCGGGATTTGAACCCGCTTCACTCGGTTTCCCAAGCGAGCGCGTTACCACTGAGCTACCACTGCCTAAAAAAATAGTGTTAAACCAATATAAATACACTCACGCCAAGGGCGGGTCGGGCTCGCCCGCCTCCAGCGCCTGCACGCGCGCCTGCAGCTGCTCGTTCTTGCGCTGCATGTCCACTATCACCGAGTTCAGGAAGCTCACTTGTCCGTCCAACATCTCTTTGTCTTCTGATCTGTTTTAACATATTTTTAATGGAAATTAGTAAGAAACAATAAATAAATATAAATATGGGACCATGAACGAATTGTCTCTAATTCGTGCATGTATGGGACATTAACACACAGCACTATCTATTTCCATGGTAAGCTACGAGACCTGTGTTATGGATACCAGATAGTTGACACACTACACATATATAACTTTAAATACATACGTTTTATAAATATAAACACCCATGACTGGAGAAAGAACACAAATGAATGCCCCCAACGGGACTCGAACCCGCGACCTCTGGCATAGAAAATAGGGTCACTACGAACTGACTGAAACGTGTCGTCGAAACAATAACTATAATATTTATTAGATTTACACGAATATTTGACTTTTTAAATGAAACTATTTTTTTGGATTTTTCGCAGCTTTATTTTGGTTTTTGGTTCAAGACATTTCGCCAAACCATGGCGTGATCATGATCGTTGTAAAGCATTTCGATTACCTCTGTGATCCGTTTACTTCATTTCTTTAGTCTTGAGTTAGTATATTGTAAGAAATCGCATGCTAGTATAGTGTTTACTTTTATATAGACGTAAAACATTTAGTCAGAATATACTGAGACCAACTTACTTTTGCGAGGCGTTATCTCCTTGTCCCAGCAGGCCTGTGGCATTATTATTGTCATTTTTATCTCTAACTTCCTGTCCTTTCATGGCCAATTCTTTCTGTAGTAAAACTTTCTCTCTTTCCGCTACTTCAACTTTGGATTTTTGACTCTAAAAATGAAAATAATTTATATTATTTAAAGTATTACATTAAAAATATTTACGAGGTAAATCTAGATATATAATAAAATTGTAACTAAGCCGGATCTGTACATTAAATAATTTATGGAAAATCTCATTGAAATAGACATTATTATCGATACAGAGGCCGAATATATAGTTTTTAGAATTTTGGTCTGTCTGTCTGTTACCGCATCACGGAAAAACTACAGGAGAGATTTTAATGAAATTTGGTATGATGATAGCTGGTTATCCGGGTCAACATATAAGATACTTTTTACAGCGAGAAAATATCTCATCTCTAAGAAATCGATATATAAAACATAAAAAATGATACCTTCAGATCCTCCTGTAATCTTGATATTAATTCATTTTTAGTTTTAATATCTGTGATATTACTATCTACATCGTTTCGCAATTTAGCTATTACTTTTTCACTGTTGGCCAAAGCGGCCGCGCCCGACTGTCTCGTCGCTTGTAACTCTAAAGTGAGTTTTTCTAATCTTTCATCTTTAGTTTCTTCATTATTTTGCTGGACGGCCAACAATTCTAGTTTCTGAGACAGTTCTAGAACATTCTTTTCAGCTTCACTAAGTTTCGTTTGCAATTTATTCTGATTTTCCAATTCTAAAGAAATTCTCTCCTTCGACTCTTGCAATTGTTTCTCATAATCATGAATTTTATTTTTCAGTTCGTGCCTAACATTTTTACTTTCTTTTTTATATTCGTCGAATTGCAGTTGCAATTGTTTGTTGAGATCATCATAATTTAATTTTTGTGCGTTATTTATATCTGTCAATTTCTTTATGTCGTTGTCTGATTTTGTTAATAATTCCTGTAGTTCGTTTACTTTTTCTTTAGTATTTTGTAATTCTTCTAGATGTTTGTTTTGTTCCTCTAAATTACTCTTTAACGCTTTAACTGTTGCATTAAGAGATTCAACTTCGCTCACGTATTTCGCCTTCAAATCCGCATTCTCAGTTTCTAATAGTTTCATCGTTTCCTGTGTTTTCGCAGTTTGCAGCGTGAGTGCTTCATTTAATTTACTTAACTCTACTTGTTTTCCTTCTATTATAGTGTTTTTGTCACGAATCTCTTGTTGAAGCTTATTTATATTTTCCTCTTGTTGCTTAGTTTTATTCGAGTCATTATCATTTTGGTCATTTTGAGATTTGATTATTTTTTCTTTTTCATCCATAGTTTTCTTTAGTTCTTCCAAATTCGAAACACTTTCTTTTAATTTTTTGTTAGATTCTTCTAATTCATTTTTAAGGCTCGATATTTGAGTGGACGATTCAGTATATTTATCTTCTAATATTTTCTTTTCATTACTAATAGTTGCCATGTCAGTCTTTAATGTTTCCAATTGTTTTAGTTGCTCCTTTAATAATGATTCTTCTGCCGAAGAATTGTTTAAAAGTGATTCATACTGTTGCTTTATAGTCGACGTTTCTAAAATACTTTTATTTAGCTGCTCTTCTAATTTATTTTTTATATCAGTTGTTTTATTCAACTCCTCAGTTACTTGAGTAAGTTGGCGGTCCTTCTCGGTGATCATCTCTCCATTAGATTTTATATCAACTTCTAGCATTTCTAGTTTTAATATTAAATTCTTTATATGATTTTGTTTTTCTTCAACTTGTTCTTTTAATCGCGATTCTTCTAATTTTTGTGCTTTCGCTTCATCATTAAAAGAAGATAACTGAGCTTGTAATTGATTTATTTCTTTTTCATATTGAACTTTTTGGCCATTCAATTGTGTGGTCATATCGTCTAATATCTTTTGCAAGGAGTCCTCATGTTTACGTGCTTCTTCGAGTTTATTATTTAAGTCATTCTGCGCCTCAGTCAGTTGATCCACTTTTTCCATCAATTTGACCTCTGAAGTAGCACCTTCTGCTCTCAACAATGATATCTCTTCCTTATACCTATCAATGTCTACTTCAAGTTTTTTACGAATGGCGTCCTGTTCATTACTTATATCTTGTTCCTTCACTTTCAAGCTTTCAATCTCATTTTTCAATATTGAGTTTTCATCGAGCAATTTATCGTTTTGAGCTTCTGCATCTCTTAAGCGATTGTTTGTATCATTAACAAGTGACTCAAATTCCTTAATTCTGTTTTCCGCCATTTTTAGTTTATCAATGTGTTCATCAACTGACCTAACCAACTGCCCCCTCTCTAGAGAAAAGTCCTCTTGAATTTTGAATATCTTCTGTTTGAATTCTTGCTCAATCCTACCGCATGTGTTTGTAGCTTCTCTATATTTATCTTTCAATTCGTGCAATTCTTTTTCCGAGTCTTTCAAATGTTGCGACAACTTATTAAATTGCTCATTAGAATCGGTCGCTTGTCCCGTAAGATTCATATATTCCGCTTCAACTTTTTCTTTGGAATTTTGTATTTCTTCACATTTATCTAAAGCGCTGCTAAGTTGTCGTTTGTATTCACCAATTTCCAGTTCCATTTCCGCCACTTTAGCTTTAAGTTGAGTGTTCATTTCAGTAATTTCATTGAGGGACTGTTTTAATTTGCTATTTTCTTCCTTAAGTGCGTTTAACTCATCTACATTTATTGTAAATTGTGTATTCAATGCGTCCAATTCTACTTTGTTCTTATCTAGCACTTGTTTATGATTTTCAATTTCTTTTATTAGTTGCTCAATCTTAGAGTTACGATCTTCGATTTCTTTTTTATGTTCTTCGGCGATTTTACTGTGTTTAATGTTGAAATTGGCCGTTGTCTGTTCGAATTCATCTTTTAATTTAATTATTTCCTTATCACGCTCGTGAATAGTTTGCTTATGCTCATTTATAATTTTATCATTACTACTAGTAGATATATTTGATTCATTGAGTAATTTCTCATAATCCTTAGTTTTTGCTGTAAGTTCTTGTTGTAATTTTAATATTTCCGACTTATTTTTCTCTTCTTGTTGAGATGCTTCATTTAAAAAGCTTTCATATTCATTGACTTTGTTAGTCAATTCTTCTTTGACTCGGTTAACTTCTTCTTGTAACAACTTACATGATGTCTCTTGCTTCTTCTTCCAATCTTCCAGCTGCTCGATATCTAGGATTTTGGCACTCAGTTCCATTTTAAGCTTCGTTATTTCCTTATTTAGAAGGACTTCATGTTCTTTACTTGCACCCGTAACTAGAATTATTGAATGTTTCATTATAGATAATATACATATTAAGCATCTAATCCATACTAATATTATAAATGTGAAAGTTTGTGAGGATGGAAGGATGAATGTTTCTTACACTTTCACGCCAGAACGGCTGAACAGATCTGGATGAAATTTGGCACAGAGGTTACTTTTTATCCCGGAAATATGTATGGTTCCGGTGGGATAGTTTGGTTTTGTCTAGGGACGAACCCGGGCGAAGCGAGGGTGAGTCTCCAGTATTATAAATGCGAGATATTTTTTATTAACAGACAACAACATTCATCATCTTTTTATTAAGGCAAAGTATAATTAAACATTTTTCTTTTATATGTTGAGAGCAACTAAAAAAAATAGCTTACCTTTATTTAACTCTAGTGTTTTATCATCAACGGCCGCTTGAAGCGCTGTTAACTTACTATTAAGATCTATTACTATTTGGCTACTATCTTTATTTAATCTTTCTACATTTTGTTTCTCAGTCTCTAGTTTCGACTCGGCCAACTGTAACTTAGCTGTCAGTACCGACAGTTGAGTTTCAAATTCTGTTTGAGCAATAGCTATTTTACTTCTAGCTTCATTTAATGCCTTTTCCGACTCCATTTTAACTTTAGTGAGTTCTTCGGACATGCTCTTACCGAGCGAGTCTTTTTCACTCTCTTTCTCTTTGAGGAGATCGTACGCTTCATCCAGTAACTTCTGTAGTTCAGAAGATAAAGCTGAAAACAGATAAATATTTTTTAAAAGTCTAGTGGTCTTTTTATGATATTCGATATAATTATCATTATGTCGAGTCCATGTGTAAATTAAGAATCCATTTTGGTGTTTGTTTTTTTTTTCAAATTAATATAAAATTTAGGTTTTATGGCGCTAGTGTCTAGACCAGATTTTTCGTCATCAAATAAAGTAGTAAAAGATAATCTAAATCAAAATTAAGACATAAATTACCTACATAGTATTAAAGTAAACATATTGGTTTTATATTCAAATAGATTTTAATGTACTTGACGAACTTCTATATAAATAATATAATAATAGTTAAGAGGATTGTGAAGTGTCCATACGCGGCGAGAGTAGGTATTTTAAAAAATGCTATCTGTTTCATAGCGCTTTGCATCCCCCCGGCAGTGAACAACACAAATACAACATACGCAAATTCTCACACACACTATGATAGCAGCAGCCGGTGACGCGCGGGCGCTCGCGGGGGGCGGGGGCGGCGCGACTCGGCGCAAGAGCAATTTCAAAGTTTATCTAATATGTACGGAGTGCGTACAATATACATTCCCTACAAGTTACATCGCACCTTTATTCATAAACTGAAATAACTCTAAATTACAATTTTGTGACGAATATAATTTAAAATTTGACTTGTTTAGATTGATGACTTAAAAAAATCGTAAAAAAATAAATAGGTGGTTTAGATCAATTACAAAAATCTCGTTCCAAAAGTTGAAAGTTTTAGAAATTTTTGTTGTTTATGTACTAATAGACGCATCGGAATCCTTTTATTTATAAAATATTTTTTTTATTGAAAACCTGAAGTTTTATGATTTTAAAATGTTAGCAGGAATTTTATAAGGAGGAGGAGTTATATAAGGAATAGAAATTCATAAAATGACCATATCATGAATGATGATGATTTACGATTTTTTAACAAATCTATGACTAAATTTTATAAAATATATCAACTTAATTTTCTTAAATATATTTTTAATATAATACTTTCTTAGATTTACGCGAATATTTGACATTTTAAATAAAACTATCTTTTCGGATTTTGTCGCGGATTTATTTGCATTTTTGTCTCTCCCGTGACCATGGATGCTGTAAAGCATTCGAAACGTCGGGAAACAACAATGCAAATAAATCCACGACAAAATCCGAAAAGATAGTTTTATTTAAAATATATTTTTAACTAATGAATAAACAAGATTAGATTACGAATGAATTTCATTTCTTTCTGTAATTGCCCTAAAATCATTTTTTTCAGAAAAATCAATAAAATTAACTCCAAAAACGAATAAAATATCGATAAATTCGAAAAAATTATAACGAAAAGTATGAGTATATATATATATATATATATATATATATATATATATAAATATACACATACTATTCGTAATATTTTTTTAAAATTATAACGAATATAGAATTAAAAATATAAATTTTTCAAAAATAAAATTATTTTTATTGCTCCTTCTAAACGGTAATAGTCCAGCAATTAGCAAAAGAAAGCGCGTGAACGGTGGAGGGCGAGGGGTGGAGGGGTGTAGGAAGTGGTCCTTACTCATTTAAACTTGGTCAGATATAATGATGATGATGATATAGAAAATATTTTTATTTTTGTATGAAAATGAAAATTTAAGAAATATATTTTTTTCTTGTTACAGAGGTTGTTGTTATGATGTAAATAGTATATTCCCAAAATCCTAGTGTTCTTTCACGGCGACCATACAATATTTTTATATTTTCAAAAAGACGAAAAGAATGAGCCCTATTTGAAAATTAAATGATTTTTTTTTAAATGTAAACGCCCACTTGAAGTTGAAGTTGGGGGTGATTTTCAGCCTATCGAGACCATAATACATACTTTTCTCGGAAACGGAAAATTTCTGTAAATATTTCATTTTTTTTATTATATGTATTTTGAAGATTACATTCCCCTAGTTCCATGGAAATCAAAAGATTATTCTAGAAATTAAAAATAAAAAACTCAAGATAAAAAAAACCGAGTTTTCTGCAAATATCTCGAAAACTTTGAGGTTATCGTAGAAAGTGTTATTTATAAAAGTTGTATATTTTTACTAGACCTTTAACATTTGTACAAAATATTTTTCGATAGAACGTCACAGTAAGCCGGAAATTGAAAAAAACTATTTTTTAACGTTTTGCGTCCCCCCATTTCTCGGGTGTAGCTGGACAGAGGGGGCATTTTATGAATTTCTAATCCTTATATACGTGCTAACATTTTAAAATTATAAAACTTCAGGTTTTCAATATTTTGTTCCCAGATTCCGATTGGACTATAATACTAGCTTACATACTAAATTTTAGCTTTCTAGGACTTCAGGAAGTACCCTAAGAGTTTTGATGATCATCAGTGAGTCAGTGACGAAATCGGAGTTTTTTAGATATCAATAAAATCTAATGCAAAAGAGCTATGCAATTGAAACTTTTTATGTTTAGTTAACATTGCCCGCGACTCCGCCCGCGTTCAGATGACCAAAAACCAAATTCGTAGGTTTTACATATTAGTATACTCGTACATTGCAGTTTTGTATTTTATCTCAGAAATGAGTTATTTTCCCGCGGTAATCCTATATGTTGGCCCGGATAACCAGCTATCACCATACCAAATTTCATCAAAATCCCTCCAGTGGTTTTTCTGTGACGTGGTAACAGACAGACAGACAGACATACAGACAAAAATTCAAAAAACTATAGATTCGGCCTCTGTATCGATAATAATGTTTATTTCAATAATATTTTCCAAAAAATATTTAATGTACAGATACGGCTTAGTTACAATTTATACATACGAGTATAATAAAATTCTAAACTTTGGATTGAATCCTTTCAGTATCGATCGATATATCGATATTACCTTCTCGTCCCTAGGAGATAATAATATCGATAGCACCTTCAACATCACTACAGTCTACAATAAATATGCCCCTGCCCCCGACCCGTATGGTGCGATAGAGAGAGTTGCAAGTCTTAGACCCAATTACCTACATTTCCTTTTTGAAATATTGTTTCGGGCGATAACGTTTTCACCCCCTTAAACATTAACGAAATGAGCTTCACAATCCTCTTAAATATTCTATATAAATATGAAATACATAATAACAAAAAAATCTCAGCAAAACCAAGCCAAAACTCAAAAAAGGCACGGAAATAAAGTCTGTGGTGTTCGTATACTAATTTAAAAAAAAAGATTATTAAAAGCCATTAAATAATAGTAAACAACATACTATGAGCAGCCGCCAGCTCCTCCTTGTGCTGGTCGGCCAAAGCACTCATCTCGGCCGCGCGCTGCTCCTCGAGCGCGCGCAGCGCCGCGGCGGTGGTCTCCGCGCGCGCCGCCTGCAGCGCCACCTCCGCTTCAAGCTCACGTATCTGCTTCTCGCGGGCTTCTTTTTCTTTCTAGAATATTTTGAAAGAATATATTATATAAACTATTTCATGATTATTTTATACTAGCATTGCCCGCGGCTCCGCCCGCATTCAGATGACCAAAATCCAAATTCTTAGGTTTTACATATTAGTACCTATACTCATATATAGCAGTTTTTGTATTTTTTCTCAAAAATGAGATATTTTCCCGCAGTAAAAAGTATCCTACATGTGACAACTATCATGATACCAAATTTCATCAAATCCTGTCCAGTGGTTTTCTCGTGATGCGGTCACAGACAGACATAATTTCTAAAAACTATAGATTCAGCCTCTGTATCGATAATTATGACTTTTTTAAAAAGATTTTCTAAAAAATATTTAATGTACAGATTTGATTCAGTTAGAATTTTATTTTATGTATAGATTTGGATTTTGTGTGATACCTTATAAATTGGTTTATGTTAGTATTAGCCCATTTTAAATGTTTATTAATATGTGAATGATCTCCATAAACAATTTGTTGAAATTATGATTTGTTCTGATGGTCTTCTTTACTTTTTTTATTTTTATTAAGACAATTTTTATAAACTTACCTTATTAGTATACCAACTATGTGTGTGTAATTGCAGTATCGAACACATATTATTTAAGTTCAAGATAACAGATTCGATTCCTCCTTAGGATATATTATGTTAAATTTGGTCTTGTCACCAATTATTATTTTTGACTGAGCATTCTCTAAACCAGATTTATCATAAAAAATCATTCTTTTTGCTAATAATATACGATAATTCTCAATGTGTAAGTTACTTGGATATCTATTTACGTACCTCCATTGCTTCTTTATATTTCTGAAATAAAAAAAAATATAATCAATATTTTTTTAATGAAATAATTAATTGTGTAAATATGAGAATGTTACTTACATTATAATCTTCTTTATTAATATTTTCTTCTTCATTTCTGAACATAAGATCTTCGACCTTTTGCCTCTCATCTTCCAGCATCTTGTTGAGTTTATCAAGTTCGGCTTTCAATTTCGCGTTATCATTGTTCGCCTGAAAATTAAAGATTTTAAAGAGGTATTAATTACGAATAAATATCTATTTTCTTAATTATGTTGATTAATAAAAACTTTTTAACAAAAAAATAAAAACCGACTTCAAACAAAAGCACTAAAAAGTAACAAATAACTGATTAGTAGTTTTCATTTACTATACATACCTAATCAAATATTTTCGAAGTCGGTGTGCTTTCGCTAAGTAATTAAAGCCTACCTATTAAATACATACCTAATCAAATATTTAAGAAATCGGTGCCAGCCCATACAAAAAAAAAACAGTCGAATTAAGAGATTGAAGTCGGTTGAAAAAATAACAATAATTAAAAGCATTATGAATGTTTCCAAGGACTTTGGATTTAAAGTCAACCAATTTATTATAATTAACGTTAGGCAGATCATGAAAAATATTTGTATGATCAATACAAAGACTGTTCCATACATGCTAAATTTACATTTTGGACATCAATTCTAATACCTGAGTCGCTTCCTTCTTGACCTGTGCGAGAGTGGTCTCGGCGCGATCAATTTGCATCGTAACTTTGATAACCTCTGCCCTTTCGAGCTCACGCTCCCGAAGAAGACGTTCGACATGTTGCTGCTTTTCTCTTAACATTTCCTGTGTTATATATTTTTTTATTAACATTTTATATAAAAACTACTTATAAGTATTCTCTGCACTATTATTAATCATGTTCCAACATACGTAAATAAATCAATCTAATGCATTTGGCATATCTGTTTGAAATCTATACATATAATAAAATTGTAACTAAGCTGAATCTGTATATTAAATATTTTTTGGAAAATTTTATTGAAATAGACATTATTATCGATACAGAGGCCGAATCTTTAGTTTTTAGAATTTTTGTCTGTCTGTCTGTCCGTTACCGCATCACAGAAAAACCACTGAAGGGATTTTGATAAAATTTGGTATGATGATAGCTGGTTATCCGGATCAACATATAGGATACGTTTTACGCGGGAAAATATCTCATTTCTGAGAAAAAATACAAAAATTGCAATGTAAGATTATACTAATATGAAAAACATAAGAATTTAATTTTTGGTAATCTGAACGCGGGTGGAGCCGCGGGCAATGCTAGTAAATTATACGTTAGTAAAAGCAGTTTTGTTGATTCGTAAATAGCTAAGATAATTAATTGTCACACATGTACATGTTCCAATACTTAGAAAGGTAATATACGTATAGCAAATTAGTCACGCGACCTTGTGTATAAATAACCATTGATAGCGTATGTTTAAGAAATACTATGTATACGTTGCGTTATCTACGTACATATATATAATGACTTAAGTACATAACAAGTCGAGCGTCGTCGCAAATTGTCTGTAATTGTTTATCGTCCACAGAGTAAAACCTTATTTTTTTAGGTTATCGGTTATTACTTATCTATACATATAAAAAAATTGTAACTAAGCCGAATCTGTACATTAAATATTTTTGGGAAATCTTATTGAAATAACATTATTATCGACACAGAGGCCGAATTCATAGTTTTTAGAATTTTTGTCTGTCTGTCTGTCTGTCTGTTACCGCATCACGGAAAAACCACTGGAAGGATTTTGATGAAATTTGGTATGGTGATAGCTGGTTATATGGGTGAACATATAGGATACTTTTTACTGCGGGAAAAAATCTCATTTCTGAGAAATCTATACTAAACGTTAAAACGTAAGTAGGGACGAACCCGAGCGGAGCGAGAGTGAGTCACTAGTTGATTATATTATTGCAATACTGTTTGATAAAGTTATCTACTTGTGAAGTTCTTTAAACACCAAAATCTATTTTTACTATCAATTCAATTTCTTTTGTGGGAGTAGAATTGATAAAATGTAATTTATTAAGCGACCTTAATAATTTTCAAGGTAGACTTGTTTTCTTATTAGTCTTAATTTTTAAAATATCTAACTATATAACAAATTGTGTTTAAAAAAATTTCAAACGCTTTAAATCCGTCAAAGTATCTGCGTCGTAAGTATTCAAAATGCATCATATCCTGAATTACTAACTCTTGATATTAATCACGTAATTTTATGTGTTCGGGACTCCCCCCCCCCTTCCCCCCAACGGCGGTGTACCATGTGAGTTGCTCCTGGTACTTCTCTGATAGCAGAGTGGACCTTGGAGCAACCCCATGGTTGTGGTTTGGTAGTTTCAAAAAATGTGTTCGGGACAATGATAAATGTGATGTGGGTATCATATCATTTTATTCAATCTCATTTACTGAAGAAGAGGAAGGGGTCAAGGAAGATATGACATGAAGGCGATAAGTACAGCATGACGTACCTGGTAGGTACTACTGAGACACTAACCATGAGGGCAGTGATAAAGAAGATAGTGGTAACGATCATAGTGATGTGGTACCGCTGGCGTCGAAAAAGAGACGACAAAATTTATACGTTGGATAATAACAACTTTGCGAAAATCTTCTAATAATACCTACATCTAATTTTGTTGATATTATGTTTATATGTAATTCGACAGATCAGATCATTTCTTTTATATGAAACACTAATGGCCGATTTCACCAACGACACCTAAGTTTAAGGGATCCCCTAAGCATGGTTAGGGGGCTGTTAGGGGACAGTTTCTGTTTCACCGACAGTTAGGGGTCACCTAATTGTTAAAATGCCACCTAAATATAAGTACTAGAAATACGGGCTCTGACGATGGTAAAACGAAATTTAATTTAGGGACTAGTTTAGGGGAACTTTTAGGCTAGGGATCCCATACGTAGGTGGTAGCTTAGGGGATGTTGGTGAAATCGGGCATAAGAGTCTTGATATTATCTGACTATAAAAACCTAAATGAACTGTATGGAAATGTACAAGAAAATGACTGAAAATATCCACTAATTACCATAAAATATAATATGGAAAAGAAAGATCGCCCCTTTTATAACTGGAGGTTTGAATGGTTGGTTTGATAACAGCCTTTACAATGATGACAACAAACTAGCATACTATTGGACCACTAAAGACAGTCAAGCGATGGTGTCATGGAACTCCCATGGATGAACTCATGGTCCACCGTCATATCGTACGATATTACATACGCCAAGTGGACCAAATAATATCGCGATAGTTAAATGAAGGGTTTCATCAAGATAGAATTGGACAATATCCTACAAAATTACTTATAGATACTAGCTTCTATCCTCTCATATTGAAACGTAGCTGCGGTGGTTTCGTATCATCCAAAAGTGCTTTACAAATGTAGAAAGTGCCTAGAAATACTTTGTCGAAAAAGCGTATAGCAAAAATTTTACATAGGTGATCAATATGCTCATTTGAGTACACCTCTATAATTTCCTAAAAACTTACTATTCTTAATATTTCTTTATTAATTCTATGTTTAATCGTTCTCATTTTAACAGGTTAGTAATGAAACTTTACCAATATAATAAATATTGGTACTTTTCATTCTTCCTCTAATATATGTACAAAAATCAAATAGTATCAGCTATACGTAGAAGTCTAAAATAATATTAAAAAAAATATATCTAATGGCTGGCAACAACACACAAAATTATTTTTAGTTTGTTTCGTTGTTGTAAACAAATGAGCACATACTCATAAATATGGTAATAAGTGATTAGGTAGGTGAATATTATCGCGTAGGTATATTCAAATGCTTATATATTCAGAATTGAGACGTTTTGGACCGCACAAAAGGTATTATTACAGACGTTATGGTAACACATTAACACCCGCCTACTGGAATCGCATGTTTGTTTGTTGATAGAAATCCACTAATTAGGTATTTTCTTTAAAAATCTACCTATGAACAGATTTTTCTAATTTATATTATTACATCATTGTACGTGAGCGTTGAATATTTTAAAGTCTGACACAAATATTTATTTAATCTAAAACTACATAACTGCCTAATCTCTTTGTTAAATGCTATATCTTTATGATATCATAGAAGAATTACCTAGTATTGTTTTTGATGTACCTATCTAAATAAAAAAAGGTTGCAGAAGTTACTATGTACATCTACGAGTATGTATCTATCTACTAAATTATAGTCTATGAAGTAATTGTCTTCTTCCTAAGCTTAAATATATGACATGCGAACTCGGTTTAAAAATATAGGTATATCCCATGCTAATCTTTAAATAGTTACAGGTTTTACTGTACTATTATTTTTAGTAAAATTGTAAGGTAATGAAGAGGTAAGTATAAAATTGTAATGAAAATGTTTTTAATATGCGTAATATGCATATTTATAATTACAGGTAAATTTTATGCTATTATTTCTATCGATAAAACGTATTAGACAAATACGTAAATATTTTTTTAATATTTACGTTTATTTCTGCAATTAATTCAAAACATAGAAAAAATACTTAATTTAAGTGAAATAATACTGATTTCAATCATTATAATTCCACAATTAAAGAAATTTAAACTGAAATAGTGAAAAGCCTTTTTAGAAGGTTTAAAACTGTGCCACGAAAACAAAAATGCCTCAAGAAAAATGTATTCAGATTCGAAATCGCCGTAGAATAAGAACGGCAAAAAGTCAAAGGCAAAAGGAAATCTTTACGAAATGAAAAAAGGTTTTGCTCCCTCGAGAACGATCTGAATTCTCATAAAATACAGTGCGGAATTTTCCGGAAATTAGTCCGGACGAATAGTTTTAAAATGGCGTAAGGTTACCCAGCAATCAGTACAATTTGTAGGTTCTTTGAAAATGTCTATTTAATATTGAAAAAAATTGGCTTTTTTATCTAAACTTGTAAAATCCATTTAGGTAACAATATTATGTTAGATATGCATATATCTCTACAATTTCTACCTCTACATATGTATATTATGTACAATTCATACAAGGAATAGCTAACTGATTTTACGTTCTCTTAATAAAGTTTGAGCAGTATTTGCAGCAAAATTTTCAATGCAGACATTTACATTAGAATGAACCTGGTTTGAAACCGAGTTTGGGTGCATTTGGAAGGCTGCCAATAGGCCACCCCCTTTTACTTCCCCTGTCTGCATCAGATGTACGTATACATCTATCTTGCGCGAGTTAAATTAATAATTGAATGCTCAATAAAAAATTTGTTCTATATATTTTATCCATACATTATCTATATTTTATTGGACATAACAATAATAAATATATAAGTTACTTAACTATAGCCCTTAGACAGTGGATATAAGGTATAAAATCCATTACCATTGATATTTTTACAATAGGAATAAGCCAGTCAGAAGTAGCTTTGTTGAAGTCCGCCTCATAGCCATGCGTCAAGCCACTATACAGCGATTAGTGTAATAAAACAACACATTAGATTTAGACAGTATTTATTTACATTTTTATAGTAAAGGGTGAAAAGAAGGAAGAAAATAACTGCACTTCCAATATAATTTATTATAACGTGTTCACTCAATATCAGTTAAACATCATTCCCAAGTTAACTATATACTATAACTATAATAATGTTACGCTAATTAATACATTAGAAATTATTATTAAGTAATCCATTTAGATTGTATAATATTAGAAAAAAAAACTAGCCTAAACACAAAGGAATGCACATGACGGTAAGACCTTACTTACGTAAATGAATATTATCAGAACTTACAGGCACTGGTAAGATTTAAGATTTTTTTTAATAATAATAATAATAAATAACTACAATATAATTTTAAACTGAAATTAAACAAGTTAAAACTTTTGATTCCCTTTAAATATGGCAAAATAAATAATAAGTAATGAGAAAATCAAACAATATCACAGTATTGCCATAGCAAAGCTAAGCTTTCGTATATCACTCATCACATTTAGTTATATCTAGAAACGGCTATTGGAACATGATTAATAAGCAGAGTTTTGTACTTCAGTGTGCGATATTTCACAATATAATAAATATAATTCATCTGTAAAAAAATATTCATAATAATGTTATTTTTAGTATGTAAGTATAAACACTTTGATTAAAACACAAATGGTATAAAATCAATCACTGTAAGATCCTGCTCGTTTATTGAATCTGTATTACAAACTGTGTACAGACTTTCTGTGGTACATTTAGTGTTTATTAAAAGAATAATTATATTTTTTTATTGTTTCACAGAAAATCTGTACAATGGTAAATAAATGCTTTACATGCTAATAAAATATACCTTTACACTTCGTTTTTTTGTTCTAAAGTGCCGCAGATGCAGTACAAGTTGTCAAAATATGGAAGTCCTCTATTGGGGAGCGGTAGGAATCTTATGCTCAGGCGTGTGCTAAACCTCAAAAACTAAAATTTTATGGCGAAACTATGCTTGATACAGCCAATTATACGTAATATAATCAAATAAATACACACATACATCCATTTCGTGTTCTTCTTTCAAACAAGAAGGTCCTAAAGGATATATTTAAAAAAAACATATTCAAAGACAATTATTATTATTATTTTAAATATGCCTCAATACATAAACATAATATACGATATAAATTAAATATTTTTTCGGACCTTATCGCGCTTTTATTTTGTATTTTTGTTCAAACAGTTTGCACGGGAGAGTGTCTCGTTTCCTGTAAAGCGTTAGATGCATCTGGTATAAGAATACCAAATAAAACTGTAACAACATTCCATTCGAAAAGATAGATTCATTTTAAATGTTAAATATTCACAATCTAATTTTAACACAAATAATCTAATTTTTAGAAATTATTATTCAAATTATACACAAAAAAGTGCAAATATACCTAATAATTGGCTGTAATTTCAAGTGTAGCAACACCATAGTATTTTGACGTATGACACACGTCCGGCCGCCTACCGCGCCGCGATAGTGGGGTACCGTACCTGCAGCGCGTTCTTAGCCGACACCGGGGTGGAGGACGCGCGTGGGCCCGCCCGCTGTCGCGTGACGTGACGTGACGTGACGTGCGACGTGACGTGCGTGACGTGACGTGACGTGACGTTAGTGCGCATGCGGCGAACAAACAACACATGTTAGCGCACTCAGTTCTACCGCTTGCTAATAATGCATTTGTAAACGCCCTTTAATTTTTTATTCTGTTATATAATATATTAGATATTAATTAAAGGGCGTTCATAAATGCATAGTGTACTTATAGCTATGCTGAATGACGCTCTAATGAAAACTAAGTTACATTCAACATAGTTTAGACACTTGATATTAGTAAACAGTGCGGTATAAACTAAAATGCAAACAAAAACAAAAAAAATATATATATATGTAAAAGAAAACTAAAATTGGGTAAAAAAAATTAAAAATGAAAATGTACCAAAATCAGTTCAGTAACTTATAGTAGTCATTTAAGAAACTGCAAGATGGTTATTGTCAATCTGTAACACCATGCTACATTGAAAGCGAAACGCCAGATGTTATTCACACACAAATCTACTTTATGTTACATCCCTTTGCAGGGGGTCTCTTAAAAGTAATATCACAGTTAAAATTATAATAAATATACTATTGCAGTCTTTTTAACTGTTGTCTAAATAAATGCGCCAAAAGCACCTTAGAAGCAAGTCTCAAAATAATTGATGAAATATATATTTTATAACTGTAATGAATGTACTACGATAAATCATTTACGATTTAAATAAATAATAATAAATAAGACGCAAATGATACAAAATAAGTATTGCAAAAGAAATTAACACAAGGGCCAAACCAAGGGAGTGCCAGCTACAGACCAAACAAAATTGAACTGAAACATGCAAACAAAAGCAACTTCTACTGGTACCATTACTCTTGCATGTGCCCGCTGTTACTTTAAATCTTAAGGACACTGAAGAAAACATACATCATAGTGATAGTGATTATAAAGGACGGATAATGGTCTATTGAGTGCAAGGAGAAAATGGAGGGAGTATATGAATCCGAGTAAACATTTGTACTATAACTTTAAATACGTAGCCAATACGAATATGTAGGAACATTGCATTATTCATATGTACACGACGTATGGGTAAGTAAACTGGAATGGGGACACGCAAGAGAAGTGGTAGCTCTTTCCGAAGCCCGAGAAGTGATTACGCGACGGCGGCAACTCCACGTACAGGTCCGTAGCCGGGCCCCGGCTGGCCCTCGTCACGGCGCCCGGCCGGCCCCCCCACCGCACCACCTCGCTCCCTCGCGACAAGCCCCCGCTACCCCTCGACAAACCCCCGCTTGTCTTCGATAACGCCCCGCTAGTATTCGACAGTCCCCCACTAGTACTCGACAACACCCCACTGCTACGTCGACCGCGACCTGACTCAAAAGTCATCTCACTCTCCGAACACCGCCAAGATTTTGGCAAGGCAACGTTTAATTCCGGCTTTTTATTACTGAATATGATGTCGTAATAAACCCGCGGTTGTGGCAACGCAATAAGAGCGCAACGATTTAATTCTATATTCTTGACGAGGAGGGTTTTGTCGATGAGGCTCGCGCTCCGGTGGGGCACGAGAGGGCGCGGGGAGGCGCGGGAGGGCGGCTCGGAGCGCGCGCGGGGCTAGCCTACCTGAGCCGACAGCCTCACCCCGACGCGGGAGGACGCGATCGAAGTGCCCAGCGACGTGAGCGACTCGCGCGAGTTCGAGCGTCTCAGCGGCGTGGCGCGCCCGTTGCTGTGGATCGCGCAAGCTCCGGGCTTGCGGTTCGACGGCGATCGGGACACTTTCGAAATCGGTGCGAACAGTCCAAAGCGTGGGGCACATTCGAAATATCTGAAAGATCACAATGTGATGAAAACATAATATTTTATTGGGAAGATATTTTATTTATAATTTTCTTAGGCAATTTATTTAATCCAATCGTGTCTCTCTGAGACATTTTACCTTTTCCCATCAACTGAACCATCGTTTTTCCCGAGAGGATCATCGAGTTCTACGCCCGCCCAAACCCCAGGGGCAAATTCAGTCACTCCCACATAACGCAAAGTACCAGCTTTACTGCCGCGACTACTAGATACAATTACTCGGTCGCCTAAGCGTAGATCTCCGTTTGTTGTGGTAGAAATGGAAGCATCTGAAAAAAAAAGTGTAAACTTACGGCGAAACTAAAACATTAGCACTTAACAGTATAGTAGAAGTAAGAAAATTTTACTCTATATTTTTCTAAGACTTTCTGAGTCGCAACCTATAACAAAATACTATAACATTTCAAATGTCTTTGTTAACATACTCATCTTACTGCTGACGACGCTTCGTACGCTACCATTTGGAGAGAGTGTACGCCTGGGCCTTGCGGAGCCAGAAGGCGGTCGTTCGAACACACTTCCGGCGTCGGAAATAGGTGAAGCGTCATGCGGTGCATGAGATATGAGGGCCTCTCGAGTCAGTCTAGTAAGGCGAGAAAATACTCCACGCTTTTCCGGACACTGGAAGTAACGAACTCCAGCCACTGACCCGTCATTTTTGCCTAAAATAAAAATGATACTTAAAATGGCTAATATTAAACATACAACGATTTTTATTTTATGAAATATAAATAATCTATTTGAGACATCCGATTTATTTCGATAAAGATATTTAATTGTAAGAGGCATTATTGTTTTACAATTTTCATTTATTCCAAATATATATATATATATATATATATATATATATATATATATATATATATATATATTACATTCCTTATTCTATATACTACATTACATATTCCTTCATTTAATCATACCTATAGGGTCGTCGAGTACAATGCCGGCCCAATCGCCTGGGGCAAACTGTGTTTCGCCGATGTACGCTATCTGGCCGGGTTTAGTGCCACCCACCCATACTCGTTCGCCGATTATAAAACTGTCTGTATCCTCAGTTAAAACGACACTGTGATCTGAAATACCATTATTGCAAAATGTTACACACGTAACTTCATATAATTATGTAAAACCTCGTAGTTCTTACGAAATGAGCATTCGAGAGAAAATACTCAAAGAAAGTAACTTTCCGTATATGGTTTGTGTTTTATAGCCGCTTGAATATGGATGTCCCCTCGCATTCTCTATTCTCTACACATATTTACGATGCACTCATGACTTGAATACGGCTGATGTAAGTGCAACGGCCATTACGGAACTATTTACATTCCTGTTTGCATACATAGCTAAGTTTTAGCGTTAGTACTTGAGAGGTGCATTTGTGAACTTTCGCTTGTCGCGATACTTAAAAGAAACAAACTGCATTTGACGTTTGAAGATGTGAGAACAATCTACATTGAAGTGCTGTACAATCACCAAGTACATGATATACACCCTTTGAAAAAGCTGTACATTTAAAGCCGATAGAGATACAGCACTATAAGAGCGTATGTTTTGCAAACTGATATGATAATGAACATTCTATACTATTATTTAAATTGTTCCATAACAATAATAAAAGAGTAATGCATCATGCTTTAGTTAATATATTTTTTCAACTTCAAATTAAAACAAACAGATGGATGAAAAATTTTACGTATTATTAATATTATTATAATTATTCGAATCCAATATCCAATCGTTGTATCACAATCGTTATATTACAAAACACCTACCATTTTATAATATTATTAGTTATGGAACAGTTATAGTGCAGGTATACCTACCTGAGGAGCGTCTCAAGCCGGCCTCGCTGAGGCGTCTCGGGTGCTTCTCCCATAAGGCGTCCATCGAAGTTATGCTGGACCTGCTGCTAGCTGTGACGCACACAAGTGATACAGACGTGCATTAGCCACTACTACCAGCACACTCGCATGCATTCACACAACACACTTTTAAATAGCCAGATCAATAACAATAACAAACAAATTATGAAAAAAAAACCTAAGATATTAATGTGTCATTTTGATTTTTTGTACGGAGTTGGACAATAGTAACAAAAATTGATTTATAGTCAGTCTTAGAACAATCGAGTTAATTGTAAGCTCAAGTTGTTTTTCTTTTTAAGTTACAACTAATGGAAGCTCTGCGTTGGCGGTTCCTATTGTTGCTTAATACCTAAAGCTACTTTACAATGATTAAATAGTTAAAATTTATATTCATTTTACTATATTAATGCTTAATCGGTAAAACCTGAGAGTAATTTTAAACCCGACGGCGTTCCCGCATTCAATAATTAAAAGGTAATTTATTAGAATTGTTTGAACATGCAAGATTTTTAATTTCGTTTAGAAATCTACGTTAGATTTAAAGTCAAATATTCTAATCATTCTGTGCTGCTAATAGTAGTGATGCAGTATAATCTTAAGCGATTTCCTTCACCATTTTTATCATATTACAAATTCTAAACTTTAACCACCACCTTATTTGCTATGGAGACGCCATTTTGTTATCTACAAAGCATGATTTTATCTAACCAAATATCTTCTTGATACCTTGCACCTTTAAATTTATTAATGAAAGAACTTACTAGACGCTTTGCGACGTGAACGTGGTCTGTCCGGCAAACTGCTGCTCACCTCGTCTTCGTCGGCTTCGATTAAATCTGATTCACAAACGACGTGCAGAAGCGTGATATTATGAAAATGTAATATGTAAATACTATGTACAGTACATTGGTACATATGGCGTGATGTAATAATTTTGCGATCAAACATATGAAAAACAAAGCATGTTCATGCTCGATATATTTCCATGCGATGACAATATTCACCTATTTATAAATTTACCTTATAAATGTTACAATTTCAAAACCAGAGACTCACCTGATAAATGTTTTCTTGACAAATCGTCGCTCAGCTTTCTCAACGTGTCTGTAGAGCTGCCGTCTATGACAACAAAACAAAGACACATAAAGCAAACAAAAAAAATATATCATGCAAGACATTAAGTACATAAGATCATAAACAACTAAAACACATTGCGCCATAGAATAACAAAACGAACGGATTCTAAGTAAGATTATACTTTAATATTTATGAAAAGTTGAACCTTGAATGTTGGCATTAGAAATAGAGTAAAGTTCAATATAATTTATTGCAGCCCTTTTCTAGAGAATATTTGTGGCAATGTGGCATAAGTCAAGATAAATTATTACGTAATGAAACTAGCAGGTGGAAAAAATGTAATTAATAACCAACAATGTATGGCGCTATTTAGAAAATATAAGAAAAGAGTAAAACCTTTTTAACAAAAGGTATATTAAAATGATACTTTCTTAGATTTACGCGAATATTTGACATTTAAAAAAAAAACCAAATAAATCCGCGAAAAAATCCGAAAAGATAGTTTTATTTATTAATAAAATGATTAAGACTGTTGACGTAATATTTACAAGAATGTGCTATCGTTATCTTTTAAAACTAGATGAGTACTTGCTTAAGTTGTTGATAGGTAATACTCGTTTGCTTGTATCGTAGAGTCGCGAGTTGGGTCGTCGTCTATTGGCGTGTGTATGTCCGGCACTGATCGCCCGAAGTCTGATTAATCATATGCGACAACTGCGCAACGTGCCGGCCTTGTCATAGCGCGTGGGCTCGATAATCATAACTCTGATGTAAAGCTAGCGAGGCTCATCGTATTCCCTAAACGCCTACACAACTAAGTTATGCGGAAGAAATGCGAAACAACAACACAGATGAAAACTATTTTCATTGATATATCTTTCATACAACTATGACGCGTTTGTAAGATTCATTGTCTTTTAAAGTAGTCATTTACTTATCTTAGGTACTTATTATATAACTAGCATTGCCCGCGGCTCCGCCCGCGTTCAGATAACCAAAAACCAAATTCTTAGGTTTTACATATTAGTATACTCATTACAGTTACATTACAGTTTTTGTATTTTTCCTCAGAAATGAGTTATTTTTCCACGGTAAAAAGTATCCTACATGTTGACCCGGATAATCAGCTATGACCATACCAAATTTCATCAAAATCCATCCAGTACTTTTTCTGTGATGCTATAACAGACAGACAGACTGACGGACAGACAGACAGACAGACAAACAAAAATTCTAAAAACTATAGATTCGGCCTCTGTATCGATAATAATGTCTATTTCAATGAGATTTTCCAAAAAATATTTAATGTACAGATGTGACTCAATTAGAATTTTATTATACGTATAGATTATAGTACTTAGTTAAAGAATTATATTCTAGACGATTCTTTTGTGTTTACCTCAAGTACATAAATAAATAACAATATAAAGTAAATAGAGATAACAATGTAAAACTACATGAATAAAACAATCATTTTCCTCGAAGTTCAAGGTTGAATAAAATATCATTCTATCAATATTATGAAACATAAATCATCAAGATATCAATCATAATAAACTGCCACTTGATATTGCAGTTTTATATTTATAATGATGGTAATTTTTGATTTCAATTAATATTTAATTTCCACCAAGTAGATAGATCGTTGAAAGAATTCAAAGAACAGACAGATCGACAGATTAATATTTGCTAATAAATTATTTACATACCTACATTTTTTCTGCATTGGTATAAAGGTGGATCAATAATATTACTGGCAAGGTCACTCGATAAAAAGGACTTTAAAGAAAAGTAAAGGAGAAAACAATATCCATACTAATATTATGTGTAAATGTGAAAGTGCGTTTGTTTGTATTTCTTTCACGTCGAAACGGAGTGACGGATTGGCGTGATTTTTTGTGTAGAGATAGTTGGAGGGCTGGAGAGTGACATAGGCTTCTTTTTACCACGGGAAATTATCTAATTCCCATGGGAAAACAAAAAAATATTTATGATCAGAATTATATACGTGAAACTTGGTATTAATGCTCTTCAATAAAATTAAATAAATACCCGTTTTAGCATTTTTTGAAATTCAGCCAATGAGGGGGTAAAATAAGGGATGAGAGTTTGTATGGTAAGGTAGTTTACCTTTTTAGAGATTTTATTTCTAGTTTTAGCGCAAGCGAAGCCGCGGGTTCTGCTAGTTTAATATAATTTGAATTGACCAATAATGTTTTTATATATTTCAGAAATATTATGACGAAATACCGATAAAGAACTGAAATTTGAAACGACAAATTACTTACAAACACGTACGTACCGAACTTACGTAGGTACCTACTCGTACATTGATCTACGACTTCAACTTCTTACCAAGTATAGTTAAGCCATATATATAAGCCAAGGTGCCATTTGTCAATTTTTTGAATTCATTTTGTTAAATGTGGGTAGGCTGTCTGTAACAACTATATAATACCTTAGAGACATCTAACACCTCAGTCTCTCCCGTCACCATGATTGCTGTAAAGCATTCGAAACGTCGGGAATGAAAAATGAAAATAAATTCGCAAAAAAATCCGGAAAGATAGTTTTATTTAAAAAGTATAGTTAAGTTATAGTTATATAATTTTATTAAAATTCAACAGTACCTCTACCTATAAGTTTAAACAAACCCATTGTTATGGAAATAATCAACACGTATGTATGTAAAAAATTGTAACAGATCTGAGCAAAATATCAAATAACTTCATGCTTTTGATACTAATATACATATATAGGCATGCACAAAAAGAACTAACAGATATTCGATATGTTGTGATTCAGTCACGTATTTTAAGCAAGCAAAGGCAAATAAAAATTTGAATGACATAACGACAACAACGTGATATGATAGAGTCGTGAGCCTGCTCTATTTCGAATATTTTAGTCCCCTAACTAGTAATTGTAGTAATAATCGGTCTAAAACCGTACGTCGTAATTCATATAAGTATGACTGTTAATTTGAATAACACAAATCGATAGAAACTTCGTAGCAGATTCTTTCTAGATCGAAAGTTCGAAACCTAACATAAGATATATATACATACATATAGTATTTATAAGGTCGAAGTATACTATCGCTTTCAACTGATGACATATTTTACTTTCTCGTTGAATAGACATTAATTTGTGAATTAAGGACAATTACGCGGTTCGTTCTCGTGATCATACATCTGCATGTGGGACTGACGACAATTGATGCAGTGTACGAAGCTGCAAGACAAATGCAATTTTCTATGGCAATCACACTTTAGTGAATAAAACCATAATAGGTTTCCCATCAATTATAATACTTAGATGATTAAAACTAACAAGAACGTACAAGAATCCTATAAGTATTACATCCTACAACAGATCACTCTATTAAATCAATTTGCTTGTGATGCGCGGTATTTTTTCTCAGGGAAGTGTTTATTTATTTTTATTTATTTATTTATATATTATAAAGGCTTACTAACTAAATTTACATAAAACATGTATATATTTAAACATTATAATGTTATCTATTTGTATATAAAAATTTAAAAGTATGCACAGCTTTTTATAGAAGTATTCCATTAAAATTTTATGTCGTTACGAGTATATAAGGAGCCATTTCAGTTGTACAATAAAAAAAAGAAGAAAAAAAAATCTAATCTAAATATTTAAATACATTTTCTTTTTAAATAAATTTAAACTATCAGAAAAAATGTCTATATCACATTACTGAAATATAAAATTATATAATTTAAAACTTCGTAATAGTGGCGAATTAGTTGATTTAATAAATAAATTAGTGTTACGGGTTATTTAATTTAGTCCTATTCCTAGGAACTGCGAACCCAAAATACATTGTCCGACCGAGTTGGCTGGTGTAATACTACCGCGATCCAATCGGAATCTTTGCCTAGATTCTGCAATAAATCGCTTATTATTATGAGAAATTACAACGAAAATTATTTATATCACAAATAAATTCTTTTGTATAATATAGATAATTATTACTGAACTATATACGGTAAAATATTTATAGAACTATCTGTATCACTCTCGGTAAACAACGCCTAAAATATGTCCTTGAATTTAAAATGAATCATAATATGTACATTGTAATGCGACCGGCATTATGTGTTAACTTAAATTGTCAATTTATTATTGTCTAGTCTAGTACCTACATTAGTAGAATAATATTGCAAACTAGCATTGCCCGCGGCTCCGCCCGCATTCAGATGACTAAAAAGAAATTCTTAGGTTTTACATATTAGTATACTCTTACATTGCAGTTTTTGTATTTTTTTTTCAGAAATGAGTTATTTTCCCGCAGCAAAAAGTATCCTATATGTTGACCCGGATAACCAGCTATCACCATACCAAATTTCAACAAAATCCCTCCAGTGGTTTTTCTGTGATGCGGTAACAGACAGACAGACAGACAAAAATTCTAAAAACTATAGATTCAGTCTCTGTATCGATAGTAACGTTTATTACAATAAGATTTTCCAAAAAATATTTAATGTACAGATTCGGCTCAGTTAGAATTTTATTATATGTATAGGTAGATAACGAAATTAAAAAACAAAAACAAATAGAAGGTTCATTTTTAACAAATTCATACAATTCATACAATTCTGATATAAATAACGTCATAATGTCATATACTCATTACAAGGATTCAATTCATAAATACAACTATTTTAATGATATATCGCAAGCTACATTTTTAATTGATATAATTATTGAGCTGCATCACAGATTAAGGCCACACTATCGTTGCATTTAATGTTTGCGGTTAACAGTATACGATTATAATCGGGGCATTTGAATAATTCAATAATGATTTACTACGCCCTTAAGGATCAAGTATGGAATGAATAGTTATTGTCAATCTGAACACGATTCGCCCCCGCTACGATAATTATGGACACTAATGAGTCGTACTAACACCGCGGCTGGCATGCTAAGTGCGAAAATTATACTCACATTTTAATGTAACCAATTAATCTGAATAAAAAAAGAATGTAGAGAGATTAGAAATTTCGTAC